GTGGTGAACATAGCATACACGTATGGCTCGTTATAGACACGCATACTGCATATTTAATACAAGAGGAATATTCACATTCAGTGTGGAAACCAAGAAGAAAAAGGCAGTGGAAGACAATAAACAGGTGATTGGATAAGACAGTCAAACATGCTTACTTGTCAAGTTAGTAAACCACAATACACGTATCTACTTTATAATGAAATAAAAAACGCCGAAACCTTGCAATCCAGAGATATAAAACATAAAACAAACTACCCAGCTAATACAATCGTGTAACCAACCGGATAGAGAGAGAGAAAAAACAGAATAAGAGAGGCTAAACCAATGCGAGCCCCCATTCTATGTACAGGCAGGACGTATGTGTCTTCATTAAGCGTTTCCTTTACTCGTCAAGTTTGCTCATTGTACTCTTAGCCCTTTTGGGGCTACTCGTCCGACTCTTGATTCTCTCACGACTGACGGTCCGGCTAAGTTCAAACGCACCTCCTGGCAGGCCGAGACCCAGTCCCATGCCATCCCTCGCCAGTTCGCCAGTTGTACCACTAAAGTAACTCGGCGTACTCACAGGCTCCGTCTTGATTTGTGGTGTAGCCCATCCGCTGGTCCGGCCTAGTTTGGATTCCTCGGAAGAATCAGAGAGTTCGTTATCGCTCGAGTCAAGGTGGGTTTCTTCAAGCTCAAACTCATTGGCCAATTCACCGTCTTCCAGGTCTACACGCTCGTACGGCTGTTGGTTCGCTGATGACGAACCGCCAAAACCAAAGAATTTGGCTGGGAAACTGCGGCCGCGGCGACGGTGCAAGGGATCTTTGCCTTGTTTGCTCTTGAAAATCCTGCCTATCGACTGTTTGACCGCGCTCCTCCGCTCTTTGCCCAAGATCAAGCAAAAGATGACAATAATGATAAAAATCATGATAAAGAAGCCTGGTATCTGTTGAGGATGCTCAACGAAGAGGCGATGCCAGTTGTTCTCTGATTCGTACGCTTTGGGGGTACCACCTGGATACTGGAAGTCTGCAGGTATGCCGAGAACGTTGGAACCGAAGCCCACGGCGAGTGCTTCCTCGGAAGGCGGTGGGATCTCACTAGAAGCGTAGAGAACCATTTTGCCAAGTGTCCAGCTTAGTTCTATGTCGTTGATCTTGTTGACTGCCTGAAAAGGGTCGGTGAACCCTTTTGCCTTGGCATTGTCGAGTACGGTTTTGGTGGTATTTTGGCTGCCGTCTAGGCCCTCTATTCCGACCCGAGGGACGCCAATGCCGTCGTGTAGCATGCTGATGATCCAAGATGCCTTGAAGCAAACTTCACGTGCTTTGTCTTGATCGACCTTTTTACCCCACTTCTCCTTCTTGATGCCTTTTTTGATACTCTTCCAGTCTTGACTGCAAAATTGGTTTACGCGCTCTTGATAGGTCTTCAGATCATAGGCCTTGTCTTTGTGTCCGTGCTCGAAGATCTCGTGGGTCGTGTGCCAGTATTCGGATACACCTACAAAATGGTTGACCTTGAAGTCGATAGCAGGTACATGTTGACCATTGATCAAGCATGGCGAGTTTGTGCATTTCTTTTCCTTCTCCAACAAAGGATAGGTTTGGCGCAAACATTCTGGGAATTCTCCTGTTCCTACGAGTTCTGCTGCCGCCTTTGATTTCGGTTCGTCGTCGTCATCCAAGTCCGAGTCCGAGTCGATGAACTTGCCCTCTTGCGTGACCTCCAGCCTAAGGCCTGCGGGCAAGCAAGGGTCTGGGAGCTCTTTTTCAGTACTGGAATCCAATAGCGCCTTTATATATCGTTCCCGCGCTTGATTAACACCAAAACCCAGCCATGTGGTGACAAAGACTTTGTGCTCCAGCGGCGTGCCATCCAATGTTCGTAGTCGTAAAAGGGTCAGGTCGTCAGCGTGCTTCTCAGCTTCGGTAGCATTTGGTGCGAAGGCGATCTGTGCTGATGCACCCCCCATATCTAGAAAACCGTATGTGCTGTGACCGTTGCCGTGCTGATGAAGTTTTGGCTGATCGAAGCCACCTAGAAGGTAATTTGCTGCTATCCAACCATACAGGCCTTCGGTCTCTCCTGGTATAACCTGGATATGTACATCGCAATCGGGAAGCTGAAACTGGGTCGTGCTGCGGGCAAACTGGCAAACTTGGTGGAGGATTTCTTTGCGCTGTGACTCGGGCAGAATGCGCATGCCCGCCGTGGCAAGCAAGAAGAGAGGAGTATTCGGGACTTGATCAACGGGTACGTGTTTGAGAGCATGGCTGAGGAGTTTTTCAAGATGATCTGGGCCGACGCGGTGAGGGTTTTCGCCAAAGGTAGAGATGCCTAGAGGATGGCGGATGAGGTCAGTCTGCGCCCAGGCGGGTACAGGCCGACTTACCGGGATGAATCTTCTTAGTCCACTTCTTGTCCGTCTCTATGACGGGCAGACTGTGTAACTGAGCATCAGTGGCCTTGTCACGAGCGGCGTTGTGGTTCAGCCAGCGGTAGACGTGGACGCGCGTCCCCTTTGAACTTGTTAGCTACGGCACTGCGACGACAGACCAAGTGCGCCGACGACGTACAGAGGACCCAGCGTCCAGGACTACACCATATCTCCCTGTACAGCATGGCGCGTTAGCTCCGAGGACTCATAAAAAGGCGCGGGGCAAAAGAGAGGGGAGAGGAGAGTGCCTACACTTTCCCATGGGGAGTGCTGAAGCCGAGAGGCGGTTATTGAGCAAAGTGCATGCGAAGTCAGCGAAGAGAATTTATTACAACGAGTACTTTGGAAATCGAGGAGAACGGCACAGCCGGGGGCGAAGTAAAAGGGGCGCGGGAGAAGCGAGTGACTGTGTTGCAGAGCAAAGAGTTTGTAGGAGAGCAAGATGAGGGAGCAAGTGAGTTGACAGTGGACCCTGGCCGGCGCGGATTCGAGAAGGCGCAGGCGCAGCGACGACGTTTTTGGTCGACGGGCCAGCCACTCAGCGGCCGCGGCCGCCTCGGCCGCCGCCCGCTACCCCTCGAGCGCATGACGCCATGTTTTGTTGGCCTTGGTACTACACATGCACATGTACATGCTACGTGCTACATGTACATACATACATTTGTACGTGCATGCACGCGCAGTAAGTAGGCTGTCGTTGGCAGGGCGACGACGGCACCATGCCCCTTCTGCGCTCTGCGTACTTGTCATGGCCACCAAATAGAGGGCAGCACAGTAGGTTGGGGTACGAGGGCCGACCACGGCTGACCCGTTGCAATGCCTGTCTATCGCGGACATGCATAGGGCCTGTGTTATGCTTCACAGCATCAATGCAGTGCCATACCCCGCCTGCCACAATCATTGCCCCATCTACATACACCATACACCCATGCAACCCCAACACTCACAAGCATCGATCCACCGTCATCTATAGTGCAAATCTCTCGCCGGCAACCCCGATCGCTTTTTGGCACAAGAAAAAAAAGGATATCAAAAAACTTGGATCCGTTAGACAGGCCGGCTTGACGATATACGCCGAATGATGATTTGATGTGTAGCAGCCGCAGCCAAAAAAGAAACTGCTTGTGACCTCGAGGCGATTTGAACGCCTAACCTTCAGGAAACTCCAGAGAAACTGGAATCTGACGCGCTACCATTGCGCCACGAAGCCAGTTTTGTTATTTACAATACTCTTGAAATAAATAATATATATTGATATTGGAAAATGCTGCAAAGACATGTCCTCGCCGCGGGGTAGCCTGTTCTTGGCCAACGAATCAAAAATCATCATCCCAGGTACAAGGTAACGCAGCAGCAAGCCATGTAGCCAATTCTGGGTTATCTCATTACAATGCCTGCTGATGTCTGTAACGGCCAGTTGCAAATGCTATCTAGTCCTCAAGCAAGAATCGGAGAAACGCCTTGGCGATGACAAGTCCGTCGTGATGGTTGCCCACTCTCTCTAGCGCGTCCCTAGCTTGCTCTTCCTCAAAGATGCCCTGTTCAGCCCTCATTTGGACCAGGTACGAGACAATGGGCTCGGTGAATTCTGGGTGACCTTGCAAAGAAATCAATCTGCCCTTTTTGTACATGCCTTGTACCAGGCAACGAGGCGATCCGCCAAGCTTCTCGACATCTGCAGGGTACTCGAAAACCACGTCTCTGTGCATCTGGTGGATTGCCTGCAAATCATGGTTAGAAAACCCGAGTGGTGAGACATACTGGTCGCAACTTTACAAGACTATCCTGTTGAAAAATCTCTTTGCCCTTTGCTGTGAGTTGAACTGGCAAGACCGAGATCTCCCATCCATCATCACTGCGCCCAACTTTGGCTCCTGCAGCTCTTCCAAGAATTTGATGGCCAAAGCAAACGCCAATCACCCGAACGCGGTCTTGCTTGAGTAATGTTTGGGTAAACTCGACCAACTTGAGGATCCATGGGTCATTATCAAATGAGTTGTGCTCTGGTGGGATGTCGATTAGTCACAATCCATTTTTTTTTTCGTTTTTTGCACCATGATAGCAACACGAATACTCACTCGAGCCCGAGATCAGTACTGCATCTATATTTTCCAGGTCAGGATACTCTTGCGCAGTGACGACGTCGAATGCGCTCAAGTCTAGGTCCTGCTTCGGAGATAAGCCCAAGTCCTCGGCTGCTGTTTCGAGCAACGTCGTGAAGATGCGGTCATATCGTCCGTATTTTTCAACGAGGGCTGGTGGAGGCGTATCGCACTCGAGGATTGCTATGCGTAAAGGAGTCTTCATGTTTGCGAGGTTTGATGCTGAAGCCATGGGCGAGCCAGCAATCAGCCCTCTTTGATAGCGGAAAATGACGGCGATTTCGGGGCCTACTAGCGCTGACGATCATTAACACTTGCACCTGCGAAGCTGTCTCCACGCACGCCATTCCTTCTATTACTTGAATTCTTCGGCCCGAACTCTGTTTTGACCAAGGTTGTACAGCTGCTAGTTCTAATCGTCTTGGTTTCGTTGTGAGCCTGCAGCGCCTCTGGACTCCTTTTTTGCTACTACTATGCCTTTGCCTGCCTCGGAACGAACACCGCTTCTTCGCTCTGTGTCGCAACGCCAACAGAATGCCATAGACATTGCCGGAGATGAAGTCACAGCTGCAGAAGTAGCGCAGCAAGGCCAAGGAGCCGCACCCCAGTTCCCAGCTGTGGGAAATGACCAAAGCAACTCGCATGGGCAGTCATTCGCGTCTGTGAGCCATTCTGCAACAGGACAAGAGACAGAGGAATTGGCCAAATTCGAACAAGATGGCAAGCTTCAAGGAGTCGGGGTCTGGAGATTTCGATGTGTGTTTGGAGGCATCTTATTGGGGTACTTTGTATGTTCAAATGGCGTTTTTTGTCTCTACCATCTATCCCCTATATGTGGTAGGGTTGCTAATTGCATCATGCCAGATTGCCATGTTTGACTCCACTCTCATGGCTTCAAGCCACCCAGTCATCACATCCTACTTTCATGCATCCAACTCTGCATCCTGGTTGTCGACTGCCTTTTTGCTTACCTCGACCTCGCTTCAGCCTTTGATGGGCCGATTTTCAGACACCTTTGGTCGCCGGCCTCTGTATTTGGCCGGCCTCGCTTTACTTGCTGCTACGACGGCATGGTGCGCTCTTGCACAGAGTATTGCAAGTTTTATTCTTGCGCGGGCCTTTTGTGGTATTGGTGCAGCTGGCGTGCTGTCAATGGGCAACATCATGACTAATGATCTTGTCAGCATAGAGGTGCGAGGCAAGTACCAGGCATACATCAATCTCTTTTATGGAGGCGGATCTGCCTGTGGTGCCGCATTTGGTGGATTCTTGTGCGACAAATTAGGTTGGCGGATGACTTTTGCTCTACAGGTACCAGTCATACTTATCCTCCTGATCAACGCCATTGTTATGACGCCGTCTAGTCTTGGGCCCAATCTGGCAAAAAGGTTTGGACTGGGCTTCCGAGACGCAATGAATGGCTTTGATATAGCAGGGTCGATCTTGCTGACCGTATCTGTTGCATTTCTGATCTTAGGCCTGAATCTTGGAGGCAACGTCTACCCATGGAAACACTGGTTGGTTATTACTTCACTTGTAGTAGCGCTTATTACCGGTGTCGTGCTCATCAGAGTCGAGTCGAGAGCTACGCGGCCAGTCATGCCGCTGCCCATGTTGTTCAGCAAACCACGCGGCAATCTCGTCTTCAACAACTTTTTCGCTCAGATTGGCATGAACACAATCCTATTCAACGCTCCATTGTATTTCCAGGCTGTCGAGCTCGAGAGTGCATCCGTATCAGGTTTCCGTCTTGCCGGTCCTTCAGTTGCACTGACTGTTTGTGGCGTGTCGGCCGGCTTCATCATGACTGCGACGGGTCGCATGAAGTGGCTTATTGTCGTTGGCTCACTCTCAATGCTGCTAGGTGCTACATGCCTCTCTTTGATGTTCAATGTGCCAAAGTGGCTCGCCACCGTCTTCTTAGTCCCATCAAGCGTTGGTCAAGGCTTGAGCTTTCCAGCAACAAGTCTCGCTGTTCTTGCGACAAGCACTCAGGAAGACCAGGCGGTCATGAGCAGCACACTCGTTTTGTGGCGTAGTTTGGGCATCGTCATGGGAGTGTCACTGAGCAGCCTCATCTTACAGAACGCGCTGGCAACATATCTCGATAGACTAGTCACTGGACATGATAAGGCCAAGGTATGTGGTATAGTACTTGTTCTTTGCAAATACAACGTAAAGCATCAAGAAGAGCATCTGGTTTTGTGCTGTAAAACGTACACCACGAGCTGCATAAACGGAGAAGACGAAGACTAGACGGCAAATTCACATACAGAATTAAGCCTTTCTAACAAGCCCATACAGATCATCCAACGCGTCCGTAGCTCAGTTCGCAGCATAGTTGACCTGGACGCCAAACATCAAAGCCAGGGTTCGTAGACCAGTAATCCTTTAGTACCCTGCAACGCGTCATCTATTTGGCCCCTCCTTCCTCGAATCCAGCGCCTCGCTGTTCCAGTGCTAACACTTGTTTTACAGTCATCGAAGCCTATAGTCGTAGCCTGCGTCTAGTCTTCATCTCGGCGATGGCCACATTTGTCATCGTCAATGCACTAGTTTTTGCGATTAAATTACCGCACTTGAAAAAGAAGAAAGAGCCTATCTCCGAGAATGGCGAAGAGAATGAGCGGTGATGTAATGCAGTGTGATAGGATGGGGTCGAGGATTGGATTGTGCGGGTGTGCTGCACAAGCGGAGCGGGGGCGGTGAGGCAGTGCAGGAAGGTAGAGCGGGACGCGGAGAACTTGAACATGTGGTTTGAAACATTGCGGTGTACACGTATGATCTATAGCGGGTGTAGACAGCAAACCGATTGGAACCTTGGAAAACGCGTCAAGGCTGATTCACGGTGGTTCAAGGGGACAAGAGATACGGGCTTGCATTACCTGTTCGAAATGTAGTGAGTGGATATGGCAACGATGATTCCATTCTAAGTAAGCCTTATAATGGGGCCTAGGTCAAATCGAAAGAGGCTATTCTGTGGCAAGTGCATGTATCGAACACTATTGAAGAATGGCTGATCTAGTTCCAAAGGTGATGGACTGCGGTCTCTGTCCTTGCACATGTAGGTCTAGATGCACAACAGCCGGTACGCTAAATTTTTTTCAAGCAGCAACAGCTAGACGCGGGTACTGGAAACGTCCAATGATGATGAAAGCTGATGGTAATCGACTGTGGCCAAAATGATGGTTCGGTGACGCTTGATAGGCTTGGGTAGTATTGGTCGAGGGGCGAGATGGCGGGCAGTGCAAAGCCAGGCATGGGGCTAACCGGTTTCAGACTGGTGACTGAAAATGCAAGTCCTGGTGTGGTTCGGCACGAGAACGACTCGTGAAAACATCAAGTGCGGGACGAGCGTCTTGGCCATGAGAGGATCTTGTTTCTGTTTCTGCCGTGTGCTTGGCGGGTTGGGGGGTACGATGACGTTTCACGTCGCCTGGATAAAGTTCGCGAACAGATGATTTGCGCATGGTGGCGAGATGCTGGCGAGTACTCAAGTTTCAAGCTCCGTGGTCACTTGAGAGGCAGAAATCTGCGCAGAAACCAGGCCAAGCGCAAGGATAGTGATACGGCACGACTGGCGTAGAACAGCAAGTGGTATGCACCCATAGTACGTATGCATGTACGTATGCTCGTTTGAGAGGCGTGTGCAGTCAGAAATGGAATGAAAAACAACTTGGCAAACGCATTGCTTGGCTGGACGAGCACATCTGGGCCTGTTGTTAGGTAATGAGAGGAGTGCATTTGCACGACTGCACATCTCAGTTGATGTTCGAATGTGACTGGACGTTGAGCTGTTCTCTGGCGGTTGCTCAATTTGCAAATGCGCATGTTTTGTGGGCAGGGGTGCGTGCAAAGCTTCCTTTGAAAGGACATGGTGTAGTAGTGTAGTCATTGTTGGGGAGATTGACGTCATCGGTCATGTTGGTTGAGATGGCCGTTGACGGGTATCAGCCGTCAGACGCTTACTTGCAGGACACGTGTAAGTATCTGGGTAAGCCAGGAAGACCGGGGCCGAGATGCAGGTACAACACTATCTCAGCGGCTGCGATGGGCCAAAGGGCACAGTGCTCCGACTGAAGACTTTGCTGGCTGCAAAGCATATGTAAAGAGTGAATATTGCAACGTATCTGAGTCGACAGAGAGACATCAATTGCAGACACGTCATTTGGTGGTTCACCTTGGCCCGGGCATACACGAAGGAAGAAGACTGATTTCTTTGGAAGCTGTATATGTATATGCTACTATGCACTGGATAATCGATAGGATGTATCCTTTGGGCAGGTGGGATCAGGATGGTGGTTGGGCAACAGACGGTCTCTTTTGTGAGTGTGAGTGTGCATGCTGATTGGCTGAACCACGACAACAGTGCTTAATAGTGTCAAGAGTAACAATGCACCATACACACCTACTACATGTCTAGACATGGACCGATGTCTTGGATGTCTCACTGAAATCGCGCGCCATGTTATTAGACGAATACATGGCTTGCTGAATTGTCACCTCCATGCTTGAAACCAGGGATCGTGGTCGTTTGACGTGTTGCTATTGCAGGCATTGGACTAGTTGGGCCGATGGTGCCAAGAGCCGGGGCAGCCGGCATGTGAACTTGCGAAGCACGTCAACATCTTATGTTCAGCAAGCCTCGAGGAACGGGTGTAAGAAGCTTAGGTTCCAAATTTGTATGCATGCATCATGGATGTACCCAAATAACACTTGGGCTCTTGTTGGCCCTGCATCTCCTATGTATGTACTTGGATATGTACATGTGTATAATTGGCATGAGTGCGTAGGGCTAGTCTGCTTCGTGACAGCCTGGGGGTTCGTGGCTTGTGCCAATGTTTGACTGGCATCCGTATCAAGTGTGTACATTACTACTCGAGTATGCGCATTGCAGTGCTTGGTCAAACTGCAGTGCGAGTCATTGTTGCAGGTGGTGGACGCCATCGCATCACGCGCAGACTGGGCATCTGTAGAGAGGGCGAGAAGGCAGAGCAGAGCGACTGGAAGAGGTAAGGCGCATATCGAAGACTGGAATATACTCCAGTACTACAGGTATGGAGAAGCCGAGTCTGTGACGCCCGACTACAAGGACGTCGACGCTGGCTCGACGGGCGGGAGATGGGCCAAGGTCTTCGGCCCTTGGCTGCTCGGAAATTGGCCTCTCCCTTATCCACCCACACTCGCCTTTGATCTTCAGGAACGCGAGGGCTGCGGGCCAACAGAGCCAGGGACACAAGTGGAGGCTCTGTTGTTGGCCAGGTGTGCGGCCAGGGCTGAGAAGGCGGCTAGGCGGCGGTTGCGGCAATTGTCGTGGAGAGATGAGCATGAGGAGCAAAACGAATGCTTGTGGAGAGCGATGCAGGTGGAGGCATGGGCCAGGCGAAGAAAAAGGAGACGGCGAGATGACGCACTGACGGCGATGGGGTGATGGGGGGCGGCGGCAGCGGCAGCGGCAGCGTGTTGTGAAGACGGAGTAGTGTAGGGTACAGGCCGCAGTATATGCCAGCACGGATGCGTATATGTAGGCACTCTATTTACTGTACAAAAGTCAGTAATAAGTAGTATCCGGGCCTGGGATGGGAATGAGTCAGCAGCAGGTATGCTTGTACATATATACACATATATAAAAGTACTTGGGTCTGTATGCATGTGTGAATGCATGTACGGACACGCAGCCAGCACAGCAGCAGCAGCATGCAAGTGCACGCCCAAGGAATGGCGTTGGCCAGTGACGTGGTGTCGTTGGCTGCCGTCGTGTTGCACATCCATGGGCTGCTGGCCGGGCTGCAGAGACGGACTTGGCGGGAGTCTGTGCGCGTGCGAGCAAGACGACGCTAGATGGGGCTGTGTCGGTCTTGGTTGCATGCCAATCCTTGGGCGGTTGAGCTTCGACGAAAACACGCCTCAGGCAGTCCTTAATGCGCCTCGTCTGCCGGGCCTGTTTTTGCTCGCGAAGCAACAAAGACTTGTGTTTCCGCTCTTTTGTTCTGCTCGTCCATGGTCCTCGCCTGTCGTGCCTTGGTTGCCACCCACAACTCGCTCTTCACCACCTTCCCATACGGCGCAGCATAGCCACAATCCACGCCCGAATGGACGCGCGCAGCCCCCAGTAACATAGCCCCCCTCGCGCCATCCGCCAGCCAGCTTCTGTGAAGCCACCCACCGAATCAATCAATCAATCAATCAGTCAATCAGTCAATCAGTCAATCAGTCAATCAGTCAATCAACCACGAACCCACTCGCTCACTCACTCCATTCTCCGCTAATCCATCGCTCCTACCGGCCATCTGGCCCCGTCACGTAAGCACACCATCGCCCTGCCGCGCACCACGCTTTCCACCACGGCCGCCAGGTGCTAACAAAGCCGTTGGTACCAGATCCTAGTCGCTGGGCCTCATCCACTGGCTCTTGCCTCCACCCAGGACCACTCACGCTCTTTGTGCCCATTTGCTTGCTCTCCACTGCTTCACTCTTCAACCATCGCCTACTCTCGCCGCTGGCTACGCCTTTTTATAGCTTGCATGCTCTTCCCGCATGCACTATTCACTATAATCTAGCACGCTCACCGGAAACACACACCTGACATCCTTACGGCTTACATCCATCGCTTCCCTGCCTGCTTGCACAGCCTACCGCCCTGCCCAGCGCCTCGCTCTACTGCAGCCTTGCGCCGCCCAGCCTGCTGCCATGGCGAGCGAACAGGCACACAGCGGTCCTTCAAGACCACGGGCCCCAACCATCACCATCGACACGTCTGCTGCCAGCGACACCAACATGAGCAATCCCGTGCCTCTGGCCGATATCCAGGACGGCAGCCACAGATTCCCACCAAACGCAACCTCTGACAACCCATCGCCTACCCAGCAAACATCGTCCTCACAGGAGCTGCGCGGCGCCAATTCTTTTGAAAGCAGAGAGAGCAGGCCCACGAGCCCCCACAATGTCAGCTCGCCCGTCGCAACGTGGACCAGCAATGCTGGCCTGCTCAATGTTCCAGGCGCTCGCTCAAGGGGCAACTCGATGGATTCGACTACCGACAATGGTGAATCTAACAGTTCAGGCACATATGTCGCTTCCTCACAGGGCGATGCCTTCAAGGGAGAGCTAGCGCCCACCGAAGTCTTGAACGACCAGGATGCCTTGAAACCAGATCCAGGCACAGAGGCAGACTTTGTAGTTGAAAACAATAAGTTTGCCTTCTCGCCCGGTCAGCTGGCCAAGCTCTACAACCCCAAGAGCGTAAGTTGTTGCCTCTGAGCAACCTCCTCACCGTGCTAATCAACCCGCAGTTATCAGCCTTCCATGCGCTCGGAGGTCTTGACGGCTTGGAAAAGGGTCTTCGGACCGACCGAAAGGCCGGACTAAGTATCGACGAGCAGCACTTGGACGGTGTAGTCACATTTGAAGAAGCAACGACGCCAAGTACTACCGAGGCTGCGCAAAAGACATCACCGAATGCTGGTGCGCATACCGACAGCGCACCCACTGGCTCCAAGGAGAATGCTTTCGCAGACCGAAAGCGCGTCTTTAGCGACAACAGACTTCCAGTCAGGAAACCTAAAAACATCTTTCAGCTCGCGTGGATGGCCTACAACGACAAAGTCCTCATTTTGCTGACGTGTGCCGCTATCATCTCACTTGCTCTCGGTCTATACCAAACTTTTGGTGTCAAGCACGAGCCAGGCGAGCCGGCCGTAGAGTGGATTGAGGGTGTTGCCATTATTGTTGCCATTGTCATTGTCGTTGTAGTTGGCGCTGCCAATGACTGGCAAAAGGAGCGTCAGTTCGTCAAACTTAACCGCAAGAAGGAAGACCGAACCATCAAGGTCATTCGCTCTGGAACCACTCGCGAAATCTCCGTCTACGACATCTTTGTTGGAGATGTTGTCAATCTAGAGCCTGGTGACATGATCCCCGTCGACGGTATCCTTATCCAAGGCCATGGGATCAAGTGTGACGAATCTTCGGCCACTGGAGAATCTGACTTGCTCAAGAAGATATCTGGTGACGAGGCCTACAAAGCCATTGAACGACATGACAACCTCAAGAAGGTTGATCCATTCATCCTTTCCGGTGCAAAGGTCTCGGAAGGCGTAGGTACGTTCATGGTCACGGCTACAGGTGTACACTCCAGCTACGGCAAGACTATGATGTCTCTTCGCGAAGACAGCGAAGTCACACCACTCCAAAACAAGCTCAACGTGCTCGCAACATATATCGCCAAACTCGGTGGAGCTGCGGCTCTGTTGCTTTTTGTCGTGTTATTCATTGAGTTCTTGGTCAGGCTCAAAGGCAGCGACGCCACGCCGGCCGAGAAGGGTCAGAACTTCCTCAACATTCTCATCGTCGCCATCACGGTTATTGTCGTTGCTGTGCCCGAGGGTCTTCCGCTAGCTGTCACCCTTGCATTGGCTTTCGCCACGACACGTATGCTCAAGGACAACAATCTGGTCCGCCTCCTCCGGTCTTGCGAAACAATGGGCAATGCCACTACCATTTGCTCCGACAAGACTGGTACGCTCACTCAAAACAAGATGACTGTTGTTGCTGGCTCCCTCGGAACTGCTCTCCGCTTTGGCGACTCCAAACTCAAAGCATCCTCAGTGTCCCCACTTGACGATGGAGCCAAGGGCAAGGACGTATCCCAGTCTCCTGTTGAGAATCCCAACGATGTCTCTGCCACAGAATTCGTCGAGACTTTGAACCGCGATGTCAAGGACCTTCTTCTGCAATCCATTGTCCAGAACACGACCGCTTTCGAAGGCGAGACTGGAGGTCCCGATCCCTTCATCGGCTCTAAAACTGAGACAGCCTTGCTCGGATTTGCACGCGATTACCTGGGATTGGGCAATGTCGCCCAGGAGCGCGCCAACGCCAACCTCGTCCAGGTGATCCCCTTCGACTCTGCAATCAAGTGTTCCGGCGCCGTCGCCAAACTAAGCGATGGCCGCTACCGTTTGTATGTCAAGGGTGCTTCCGAGATCCTGCTCGCAATGTGCGACAAGATCGTCACCGATGCCAACAAGGAACTTATCGAAGCTCCCATGACTGCCGACAACCGTGAAACACTCGAGCACATCATCACAACCTACGCATCCCGCTCTCTACGAACCATTGGCCTCATTTACCGCGATTTCGAGAGCTGGCCGCCCGCCGAGTCGTCCAAGAATGAGGATGACCCAACCCAAGCTGTCTTCAAGGATGTAGCCAAGAAAATGATCTTTCTGGCTATCGTCGGTATCCAGGATCCTCTGCGAGACAACGTTCGTGAGGCTGTAAAAGACTGTCAGCATGCTGGTGTTTACGTTCGTATGGTCACCGGTGACAATGTTTTGACTGCCAAGGCCATTGCCGAAGATTGTGGAATCTTGGTCCCTGGCGGTGTTGTCATGGAGGGCCCTACTTTCCGTAAACTGTCAAAGCGTGACATGGATGCTGTCATTCCCAAGCTCTGTGTTCTTGCCCGATCCAGCCCAGACGACAAGCGCAAGCTTGTCAAGCGCCTCAAGGAGCTCGGTGAGACAGTAGCTGTCACTGGTGACGGAACCAACGATGCACCCGCGCTCAAGACTGCCGATGTCGGTTTCTCTATGGGAATTGCGGGTACCGAGGTCGCGAAAGAAGCTTCTGCCATCATTCTCATGGACGACAACTTTGCTTCCATCGTAAAGGCGCTACTTTGGGGTCGTGCTGTCAACGACGCTGTCAAGAAGTTCTTGCAGTTTCAGATCACAGTCAACATCACGGCTGTACTTCTCACCTTCGTCTCCGCTGTTTCCAGTAGCGATCAGCAATCTGTACTGACTGCTGTCCAACTGCTCTGGGTCAATCTCATCATGGATACCTTTGCTGCTCTGGCACTGGCAACTGATCCTCCCACTCGCAGTCTTCTTGACCGCAAGCCCGACCCTAAATCCGCACCTTTGATCACGTTGCGCATGTGGAAAATGATCATCGGGCAATCGATTTACCAGCTGGTTGTTACCTTTATCCTCTTCTTTGCTGGCGAATCTATGCTCAGTTACCAAAGCCCACGTGAGCAGCAGCAATTGCCTGCTTTGGTGTTCAACACTTTTGTCTGGATGCAAATCTTCAACGCTCTCAACAACCGCCGCCTCGACAACCGCTTCAATGTATTTGAAGGCATTACCCACAACTGGTTCTTCATCATGATTTTGCTCATCATGATTGGAGGTCAGACCATGATTATATTTGTCGGTGGCGAGGCTTTCAAGGTTACGAGACTCAACGGCCCTCAATGGGGCTACTCAATAGTTTTGGGCTTCCTGTCTCTACCGGTCGGTGTCATCGTTCGCTTGATACCTGATGAGCTTATCAGGAAATGCATTCCCGACTTCTTCAGGCGCAAGCAAACTCCCGAGCTTGTCGTTTCAGATGACGATTACTACTGGAACCAAGGACTACTGGAGGTTCGCGATGAACTTGCCTTCCTCAGAAAAGTCCGTGGCGGCCGTCTCAGTGCTATCAAATTCAAGGTGCAACATCCCAGGGAAATCTTTACCCGATCGCGATCCAGTCACTCTCTACCTGGTACTCCTAATAATGGTGCCCAACCTGATGACGGCTCTCATGCTCCACCTACTCCCAGTAGTCGTCGTCGCAGGTCCCGTTCTAATTCCGCTTTTGGTCCGGCAACTGTCATGGCTGGTATCGTTGCAGGCAGTATTGGGGGCTGGTCACCGATTGACCGCGGCAGTGGTGATAACGACTCCATCAAATTCAGCCGCAATGCCACGAAGCAAGATCTTGAGGCTCAAGATGGCATCGAAGTCCATCCTGACACTAAGTCGACCGATCCCATCCTTGCTCCCGACGCGAGTGAGTACCGTGGCCCTCCCAGCCAGAACACAGAAACAACACCAGATTTCAACGTAGGACCTTTCTCCAGTCACGCTGGTGAACAATCCAAGCCAACTGGCCCTGGCACATAAGGCCTAATTCTCTCCTACGCCCTCCAAACTTCACACATACATAAATACCTCGCGCGAACCTCTCCGTAAATTGGAGACTCGTGTGTAATAGCTGTTCTATTCCAAGCATTATATATTTCAAGCATTCATCGGCGTCACAGGCGGTTTCTTTTTGGCCCTAGGAGCCCGGCGATGTCGTAAATACCCATATCCCCTTATTCATGTTGCTTGAACGTCCCTGCGCAGCCTATTCTGTTATTCAAGGCTCTTCTTGTGCTTTACCCGTCCATAGAAAACCTCTCGGCCCATCAGTTGTTTCTTTTTCTTCTTTTTCTCATAGCCGCTTAGCACTAGCACCAAACATCCGGTACTCCTGCAATGTGCCCCGAAACGACCCAGAAAAGTTCAAACAATACATTTCATACTACACAAGCTCTAGATTATTCTTGCCGTGCGACGATCTCATGCGCATTGCTGATCAGAGTCGAAACGGCCAGTGTTAATGTTCATTCCTTACAAAGCTTTCAGAGTTTGTCGGCGCTTATTCGGAAGGTCAAGACGCACACGACGTCATATTGGCAATTGCATCAGCACCGCATCCAGCAACGATCGATGTGTCGGCCTGTATACAAAAGCTGATTGACTTCCATCGTCTGAAGTAATCCTTCTAGTGATATTCCAGATCCATTCTATATCTTCCTTCCTCAATATCTTGATCCCATCTAAGGAATTGTTTAACAGTTACTTACCATAATGACACACAACGTACTCTTAATCGGCGGCCACGGCAAGGTTGCTCAGCTTCTCACACCCCTTCTGTTAGCAAAGTCGTGGAATGTGACAAGCATGATTCGTACTGCTTCGCAACAACCCGCCATTGAGAAGCTTGGCCAGGGCCAGCCAGGTAAGCTAAGTGTGCTTGTCAGCAACGTTGCAGATGTCCAGGATGAGAAAAAAGCAAAGACTATTTTGGATCAGGTGAAGCCAGACTGGGTTGTATGGAGTGCAGGTATGTTCATCTTTCCTTTTCTTTGATTTCTCTGGCTAGGATTTTGATGAAACGGGACCTTCGGTGAGTTATGGACATACTCTGACCACATAGCAGGCGCTGGAGGGAAAGGCGGTGCAGAAATGACCTTCGCAATCGACCGCGACGCAGCCATTGCCTTTACAAAAGCTAGCATTCACACATCTTCTGTCAAAAAGTTTCTCAATGTATCTTACATTGCCTCGCGCCGCGGCCGCGCACCCTGGTGGAACGACGAGGACTGGAATTCTGCACAAAAAGTCAATAACGAGGTCCTACCGAACTATTACAAAGCCAAAGTTGCAGCTGATGAGGTTCTTACCGTCCTATCCAATGAACGTTTAGCAAAAGAAGAAAAGGAGGGCGTGCCAGCTAATGAGCGTTTCTGCGGTATCAGTTTGAGACCTGGTACGTTAACCGAAGAGCCAGCTGGTAAGGTGAAGATGGGCAGGGTTGGAGTTGGAGAAAAGGTCAGCCGTGCAACGGTTGCCGAGGTGATAGTCAGAGTCCTGGAAAAGGACGGCTTGAAGGGATGGCTTGATTTTGTTGATGGAACAGACGATATTGATGGGGCGCTCGAAAAGTTTGTCAAAGAGAAGCAGGACAGTGTTGAGGGTGAAGATTTAGGAGAGATGAGGGCAAGGGTTGAGAGCGTTTAGGCATGCGAGAAGACTGTCATACACTCCCTGTGTTCGACAGAACCAGATGCGCTGCAGACCAAACGCCCGTTGCTTGTGAATCATGCCTGAAAACCGTTCTCTTCGCGTCTGATTTCCTCCTTCAATACAGCACCTGTCATGTTGAACACTTCACCCTGCAAGTATTTACTATGATATATTATGTGTATGCTAGTATGGACAATTCATGAGCAGATTGTGATCCAAGTAGAGTCGAGTCGCCGCTTCTGCACAGCACGTTATGCGGGCTTACGTAAAGAGACTGTAGCGCCTTGGCACTCTCTCACAGTACGTCGCAGGCCGCGACGCGACACGACCATCACACCGTCACCTTTGGTTGCGATATCGCTCTTGAACCATTGGTCATTACTTCTTATCACAAATAATGGAAGGACGCTCGTTCAGCATGTATGGATGAGTAGAATGCAAATGTTTGTGAGCCAGCACAAAGCTAGAGCCACCCTCCGCAACATCAATAAGAATCATGTCGAAGTCCGCATCACATCCGCAACAGGCCCGAGTGCAGAAAGTGTGCACCCTATGGACGCATGACGACAACTTCTCAAGAGATGAAATCGTGTTTAACAGCGAGAAATTTCCCGAGGTCCCAACCGGTGCTGGTTCCTTGCTTCAGATAGTAGCCATACAGGAAGATAACGCCATTCGCAATTTCCATGCAGGGCCGAAGAGCGCACAGCATGATAGCGCACAACACAAACACGACGCATCTTCTAGAGATGTTCACAACCAGGGCCATCCGAGGAGACATCGTCGAGACTCGAACACGATAACCCTCGATGAGAATGGATCGACTATTCCCGGTGGTCGCGACGTCGACGCGGACAAAGCCTATGTGTTTGTCCCAAAACCTCTTTCTCCAGACCTGAAGTCAAAGTATCCGAACCTGCAGGTATGCGACATCTGATATTGGCACGAGGCACAACTGACCTAGCCAAGGTTTCTATATCCGAGCGCATTGCCAAGGTATTCGGATTCCGCAATAGGATGCAAGTTGTGGTGACAGAGGCTGATGAAGACCTACATGAAGCTCATCATGTAGAAATCGTGTTTCGTGATGAGTATCTCGCACGCGCAGATATGTGGCGCATGGCAATCTCTGAGCTCAGCAAACGTACCGTTTACCGAGGCCAGAGACTACTGTTCATGGGGACCATCAAAGCTACCATCAAGCACATCTACATCAATGGCCAGTCTGTCCATTCTGGTTATTTTTCGCCCAAGTCGAAACCCATATTTCGCAGCGAGTCGGCACGTTACACTCTGTTTATCCAGATGTCTCGGGAGATGTGGGACTTTGATACCGAAGGTGCCGGAGAGATTATGTTTAACAAAGTTGTCAGCGGCTTCCTCCCGGATCTTTTTAAAAGATGGCTGAGAATCAACGCACGACATCTTGTCACTATCATCCTCTTTACTCGAATGCAATACGACGGCGAATTAGTAGCTGATCATCTTGAGGGAGCGACAAGCGACACACACTTTGATTCGCATTCGGGCACTTTCAGAGATTACTATCGAGTCGTTGTAAGCGACATGGCTAGTGGTGACTGGATCAACATCTTGTATCAGCTCAAGAAAGAGTTTAGAATGTTCCTTCGCGAGGTGTCTCTTGTGCGCAAACCAGTAAAGCAAGTCGCGAACAAAGATGATGTAGGTGTGGATGGTCCAATGTCTGAATTTGTCGTCGCTGGAAGGCCATCATCTGCAAGTCAAGGCAACATTCTTGAAGCTATCAACCTAGCCGCAGCTCAGTTTTCCAAAGACTACATTGATCGCGACCTCGTTCGAACAGGTATCTCCGTCATAGTCGTCAGTCCTGGAACAGGTGTTTTCGAGGTGGACTACAACATGCTCAAATTGACCACAGATACACTTATTGGATCAGGCATCGGCATCGACTTGGTGTGCCTCTCACCAATGCCACTTCATTCAGTACCTCTTTTCAAGTATCAAACTCCTCGCTCGGTTTCCGACTTGAAGGCTGAGCAAGAGAAACACCATGCAACTCTAGGAGTCTCGCGGACTGAAGAGGACAAAACTCCCCGTCAAAGTCAGCCTATTTTTGGTTCCGTTTCTCGCGCCTCCACCATGCAACACATACCGACAGACGACTCTGCAGAAGCTACAGACAACTGGAGATTCGCAATGCCATATTGGGTGGATATCTCTTTCTGGTCTGGCACTTCTGAAGAGATCTTGGAGCTTACAAAACCTCGGAAAGCCGACAAAATAGTGAAGAAGTCTCGAAAAAAAGGTCGCATCTTCTCCCTCAGATGCCGTATTTTTGAACTCCAAATGATGGGTGTTATGGAGAATGAAATGGGAGACGTTGCTATTCCGTACCTGGAAGAAGACCCAATGTACCCACACCATCTTCGTGAATCGTTCGACCGAGACGATGGTGACCAGAAAACAGTCACTATAGTCAAACGCTCAACTACTGGAGCAAGTTCCTACTCTTCAAAAGGGGACAAAGAGTATGGGAATGACCAATTAGACGAAAGTAGAACTGCGTACAAGAACTGGATGGAAGCATATGACAATGGCGTGTTCTCTCCAATCATGGAAAGACGCCCCGAATCAGAGTATCGAGTACATCAAAGAAGGCCGAGCGACCAGCTATCCAGTGGCTCACCCAAACTATCCAGGAGTTTTCAACTTTCTTCTTCATTCCGCAGTGTCGGCCCGTCGATCCCTAAAACCGCCCGTCCACCACCTGAAAACAACTTCCCACAACTTATGCGTGAGAAGGCAAAAGAGGTCGAGAGTCATTCTCCCCGTGGTACTGTCTATCGCATGTCTGATCACAAAGTCGAAGGCATGCCACGTGCTGACATCCTGCAACGGCAAAAGAACTTGGCAAGAGGCAGTGTCAGTATGGGGCGTCCAGTATCGCACAAAAGAGGGGATTCTGAGGATTCTCAAAGCCACCATCCTTCCATGCAAGCCACCCCAAAGCACTCTCCTGCACCCAGCCGAGGAGTGTCTCCTTCGAGGCGAGCCGGTCTCCCTCCTCTCACTGGCGCGGCAACGACCACTTCAACCAAGGCTGAGATAAAAAGTAGACCTTCCAACTGGTTTCTGAGACAGATGAGTTTTGGTGGAAAAGCAGCGCCAGCCAAACCAACCCTCGGAGACGCTACTATCGATATCAGCCAAGGCAAGGTTAAACCTGCCATGCTGACTGTTGAGAATAACCAAAAGGGGGTCATTGCCGAAAGGTTGGCAAGCACTCGTCACACTTCTACGGAGAAAGCTTCGCAGCCTATTGCCATCAAACCCGCATCGCGCACTGGCCCTTTGTCAGCCGAGTCGCTCGCTTCTGATCGGGCTAGCCGTTCTATTGAGACTGTCAGAGGCATGAGATTCAATAAACCATCTATTCCTTCCCAATCTAGCTCGGCCGTTCGAGATCCTGGGTCCACGTTCCTTCTTGCGGGTGCTCGCGGGACGGGGGAGCATGTTGGACCAAAACCAGATCTGTCTTCCAGCGGAGGTGCTAGAGATGTTCCACGGACTTTATCCCCTACAAGTGCCATCTCGCCCTGGGCAGTCTTGGTCAATCCTTGTAATCCAAAAAGGAATAACATCAACTCCAAAAATCAATATCGGCGCTGGCATCACGTCTTCCCTAGAACGCTACGAACCGGTACCGTGAAATGGAGGTCGTTATGCTCGCCCGCCGCTGTCCCTTTGACTCATGAGTGGTTCCCTACTGTCGAACAAGTCGCATCGGAATATAATGAGAGCCCATACAAGATCACACAAAACGAAGATGATGATATGCCAGAGGCTCCAAAGAGCAGGGAGTCCCTCATCAAGGAGCTCATCGCTTTTCGTCTTTCTCACGGATTTCAGATTGTGGTAGGCTCTTCTGTTGCAGAGTTTTCAGGGCGACAAGAGAAAACCCTCGCTAGCATCCTAGCACCTGAATACATGTCCAACGATGGAGACACCGTTTTTATGAGCGTGGGAAATAGCATCCATCAACTAGTTTGTGTAGCAGGTGGAGAAGTAGAGGTAAGACGATACAACCGAAAGCCCACGACAGCTTTGGAATCCTCCGCCGGCGTCGATCAGCCCTTTCCGTATCGAGCCTACATCCGTACGGCTTTTGAAGACACCTATAACCCCAGAGACGTAATCCTAAGGCCACCACGAAGGGAGTACAATTGGAATATCATCGATACATTCCTGGCTGGCTATCATGATGAGTTTTCTGAAATCCTACGCTTTTGGAGAGCACGTTTCGTCTTGATTCCTGTTGAGATACCGGCAGTGCATAGGCGGCCACTTCCAATGCTTACTGAAGACTCTGAGGAGGAGATACGTTTAGAGGGGATCCGAAAGCTCACGCAGCTGTGGCAAAAATTCCGTTTCATATCTCCCGAAGAGCGTTATTCTCAGCCCTCTTATGTTTCGAAACAGAAAGACCCAAATCCCCTTGCAATTGAATACCACACTCGCGATCCCTCGGCGGTCGTAGCGGCAGGACTAGGCAACTCTTTACTTGAAGACACAGACAGCGAGTTCCAGAACTCTGTCTTCCCAGACTCTGAAAAGTACCATACATCGAACATTGATATTAAGAAGCTTGCAGAAGACTTGCAAGGTGAGAAAGGCATTCAGATGCTTGATCGCCGATGGCACTTGAAATTGCACTACAATTGCTTCTTAGGCTTTGACTTAACCAACTGGCTCCTCTCGAATTTCAAGGACATTGAAACTAGAGATGAAGCTGTAGATTTCGGAAACGAACTCATGCACAAGGGCCTAATTCAGCATGTGCAGCGAAGACATCCGTTTCGTGACGGCAATTTCTTTTTCCAGATTGCGGCAGAATATCGGGCTCCTCGAGTTGAGTCGCGAACGGGATGGTTTGGCATGCGAAAGACAGACAAGTCAGTTCCTTCTACGCCACTCTCAGAGGCGCCACGGACATCGCCTTTGATCTCGAAGACCATCAAGTCACGACCTAGCACGGGGGATTCATCATCTACAAACTCTGACTCTCCCCGAGAAGGCGAAAAAACTCCAACACGTGCTGAGCCTCCTAAGAGGAAAGTCATTCTGTCCCGCGTTATGCGGTACGATGTGGATCCTAGGAAGCGTTCATACCGCCCTGAGATTATCTCGCTACACTATGATCGTCTACATAACCCTGACAATTGCTATCATATCCGCATCGATTGGATGAACGTAACGGCAAAGCTTATAGAAGATTCTATTGTTACCTGGGCTACAAGCGTAGAGAAGTACGGCCTAAAACTCGTCGAAGTCCCTATCGCCGAGGTAGCAAACATTGTTGACCATCACCCCTTCCGGTCTCCATATCTTGTCAAACTAGCACTCCAGCCTCCCAAATCCCAGCCGGAGAATATGTGGGACTCAACTAGCTTCTCTCCTCAATACTCTAGGACAGACAAATTTGTGTATCATAAAGCTCTGTTACGGAGGTTGAACTTTGTTCTTGACATGGAAGCTGCTAGCGCATTTCCACCAGACGTGGAAGTAACGTATTCCTGGGGTAATCCAGACTACAAGTACACGCAGTTCATTCATCGCAGTGGAGGAGTGCTCGCTCAAATCACCGACGAAGGAAACTTCTTGCTGCTAGCAAATCGCCTCGCACATAATCGTGCCAAAGACAACAGTAGAATCCGCCATGTCGACCCTTATGAGCACAAAAAAGCGACAATGGACGGTAGCCAAAGCAGTCGCATGCCCTCAACACCAGCAGCAGAGCGTGGTAATCCGCATCGTAGTCCCTTTTCCAGTCCCTTGGCTCGGCCAGTCCAGGATGCTAGCCTGTTACACACCGCACTCACCAGCCACGAACAGAGATCATCTACAGCCACCACACCGCATCTTGCAGCTATCACTTCGCTAACTCCCGAGCAAGTCAAGGACGAAGTAGAAGCATTCTGCTCCAACATCTCTCTCCTCTCTTCCTTCTACGCCGAAGGACTCCGCCACGCCCCTTCGCCTTCGCCACGAATCCTACCCGTAGGCGATGACAAGATACCAAGCCTAGGCTTACCCCCAGCGATTAGCATTAGAGATGCAAGTCCGGCGGCTGGAGGGTGGACGCTGAGCAGTACGTTTGGAGGGCCTAGTGGCATAGCCGGAAGAAGACAGGGTAGCGAGGGAAGCATGTTTAACCTGGGGAGGCGCGGTAGTGCTTTTGAAGGCATGGAGGGTGGGCCACGAAGGGAGAATAGTCAGGGAAGTGTTAGTAGCGGTATATAGACATGTGAGAGTGGACGTCGTTTTCATGGGATGGGGATTTTCTTCTTTTTTTTTTCTTCTTGCGAGTGTAATGGAGAAGGCGGTGTCGAGGTTTGTTTGGCGTAGGAAAGGTACTGCGCCTGACCATCACTAGTTTCTAGCTTCATAACCTCGTTACCGGCTCGTTTGGGTATTCTAGAGGATCATCAAGACGTGTTTTCCATATTTCTTGCCATCAGTGTCACGTTTTTAGATCATTTGATAGTCGGCATCTTTTTTTTTTTTGCTTGCTGCTTTGGGGTTTGCGATAGGTGATGACTGAGGATTCTGCGCATGTAGGCTACGATTTCTACGAACCTTGAATTCTGTCTTCCTTTTCTAGCTAGAACCATGCAAACAAATGGTTGGTCTTGATCATTGGGAGAAAAAAAAAATGAAAAACTCGACATCAAAGAAAATGACTGCAAGCCGTGTGTAAGTAAAACTATCATATTCAAAAAGACATTACTCAATGTCATAGATTGCGAATCTAATTATGGATTTAAGGAAGAAAAAAAAAATATCATTCCCGGTATTGATATCAAGGCATGGGATACCCCTTTGCAAACAAGTCTCTAATTTGCCCCTCGCCCCAGCCCAGCGTCAGGGCCAACTGCAGCAAAACCCTTGACTTCTGGGGGTTGTAAAACCCACTGGAGATGGTAAAATCGGCAACCCCGTTGGGTGGCGGAACCATACCATCTGGACTCCTGTGACTAGCAACAATGGGAATACCAGTAGCGTTGTACAGGGCCTCTGCATTTGCATTTGCAGCGCTCGACATACCTCCGGCACCGACACCGGCATAGACGATGCCCTTTGCACCGGCATCGTAGCAGGCGGTGAAAAGCGCGGGCAGCATGTCCTGGTGGGCGTACAAGATGGGTACGGAAGCCAGATGGGTCACGTTGGAGAGGTCAAAGACGGTGCGGCCGACGGGGTCGGAGGGGTGGAAGAAGAAATAGGGCACTTGGTTGATGAAGACGCCGAGTTGGCCTGCTTCGGTCGAGTAAAAGGTGTCGAGGGAGTTTGCGTTCATTTTGGTGGTGTAGAAGGCGGACCCGATGCGGTCATTGAGCACAATCATGGTGCCGCGGTTGCGTCCGGCGGGCGAGCCGGCGAGCTTGACAGCTTGATAGAGGTTCAGTGGGCCGTCGGCGCTGAGGGCTGTGGCGGGTCTCATGGCGCCGACGACGACGACGGGCTTGGTGGAGTTGACGGTGCTTTCAAGGAAGAAGGCGGTTTCCTCGAGGGTGTCGGTGCCGTGGGTGACAACGACGCCAGAAATGTCGTCTTTTGCGAGCTCCTCATTGATCATGTGCGCGAGGTACAAGCTGATTGTTTCGTTGATGTTTCCAGAAGCTACGTTGGAGGCCTGGTATCCGGCAATGTTGGAGATGTTGAGCAGTTCCGGCACCGCATCGACTAATTGTTGGACTCCGAGGCCAATTGAGTAGCCGGTTGTTTGTGTGTTTGTGCTGCCTTGCGAGGCAATTGTGCCTCCGGTTGCGAAGATTGTGACATTTGGAAGAGAGGCATTGATTGGTGTCTGGATGTCCTGGCGTACGAATAGCCTGTGTAGCTGTGATCGAGTGAGATCGACGGGTGATGCAACAGCTAAAGACGTAGTAGTAAGCAATGGAACGAGTTGTGCAAAGGCCTTCATCTCGCCAATCAAGTAGCAGTTATGACTACGATTCCTGGGTACTCCAACTCAGCTTTGTCAAGACGACTTATATACTCTTACATATCATCGTTGCAACAGATCCATTTGTCACCCGTCGTCGGCCAACCCACAACACGCCTATCTGGACGACAGGCTTATCTCAAGCCATGTTAGGCTAAGAGGCAAGGTTTCGTTATCATATCCCGTCAATATTTCCGCATCGAGTGCTGAAAGGTAATACTACGAATCGCCATTATGTACAAAGGGCTTGGCTCTGTGGATTGACCGGACTAGTCTTGGTACCGTTGCGCTTATCAGTACGTAGGATCTGAGTGCTACCATGATCCGTTTTCTCCGGTTGCTCGAACATTTCAAGGAAAAAAAAACGCCAAGCACAGATATGCAGAACCCGTAAACTGGTTCCCCGGGGCAGTTAGTCATTGATGTTACTTCATAGCTGCAGCCTCGTTTTCCATGCGTCGGGTTGTGCTTTATTACTGTGCTGTAGTAATGACAAGTGTGGACCCGGCAAGGTGCCGGCATCAGTCCCACGCCGAAGAAATACCCGAACCGCTCGACCATTGAGCTCGATGCGATCACTGATCGGCACGCCAAATAGAGCCCATGGAATTGTATGTATGATGGAACTCTACAAAGACAGTATACCAATTGTGTACCAGACACATTGATCAAAATCGTCTGCCATCAGGTTGCGAAAGATTACTTGTCACAACTACCCCCGTTTGTCCACGCTTTACCATAACAGGAATTTAATGACAACAGGGCGCACCAGGTATTGTGTAACAGAAATTTCGTGTGAAGGCGAACCCTGAAGATGAGTCTTTCGTATACAACCTTTTCTTTTGTTTCACAGCCAAAGTCGCTCTCAATCATCATAGCAAAGCATGTGCCCACCTTCCGACCTTGCCAGTGCCGCCGTTCGAGAGACTGGTGGTGTACCCGACCACTATCCCTTTGAGGCTTCCCTGGATACACCGATATCGAAAGCTGCGTATACACATGCTGCAAGCATTCTACACCCATCCATCCTCAATCACAGCATCAGGGTGTTCAAATACGCAGACGAAATAGCCAAACACACTAGTTCAAAGTACTTCACGGATCCGCACCAGCGCGACCTACTATTTACCGCATGCCTGCTCCATGATATCGGCACGACGCAAGAATACAATGGCCCGCAGCGATTCGAAGTCGAAGGTGCGGATGCAGCAGTCAAGCACCTCTCGCATTTCGGTGTTAGTAAAGAGGATGCGCACTGTGTATGGACCGCCATTGCATGTCACACATCTCCTGGCATTGCAGAGCGGATCGGCGAGCTCTCGAGAATCGTGCGCATAGCTGTAATCACAGACTTTCGAAGGATTGTTACAGAATGGAGCATGCTCGAAGCAATGAGAGAGAGACTTGAAGCGCAGCACGAGCGAGTAGGGATCGAGAAGGTGCTTGGAGATGCAGTCGTTGAGCAGGCAAAGATGGACCCTAGGAAGGCGCCCAAGGTTTCATGGCCTCATGCAATGTATGCGGCGTGGCTTGCTGACCCAGATTGGGACGGTGTGAACAAAGCGTTTTGAAAAGGCTTGATAGGTCGGCTGGGATAGTGTCTTGTATATGTTTGGGTATGTCGTATGTTCATAGCATTCATTGGCCGTGCAGCCATGTTCGTGGCCTTCTTTTGGTGTCTTCAAAGATTCACCCTCCATCGCCTCTCTCCAAAAACCCTGGGTCTCTCTCAATTTTCCCTTCAAACTTGGTCCACCACGCCTGGAAAGCCTTGAGTGGTACTGTATCCCCCGTACCCCAGCTCGTCAAGAAGTCGTAGCAATTCTTGATGATTCTCTGTGCGAGAACTTTTGTCTCGACACTCCTCTGCCCCCTGAGTACCAACTCATTGCCCTGAATTGCTCCTGTTGGTTGCGGCCGTGCAGTAGCCTGCGCTTTGTTTTGCTCTATGGCAGCTGCGACTTGTTGCGCAGGTTCAACGCTTATTCCAAGGGCCAGTGGCGCAGTACTTCCATTTGCTGCATCCATAGAAACCCCCTCGTCAACCATGGAGTCGTCACTGCCGAGATTTCCCGCTTTGGTGTTCACTTTGAAGATGGCACTGGGCTTTTCGTTGGCGATTGCACCGAGCAGTTTGAATTCGGTTGTGCCGGGTAGTTGGGCATATACGGCAGCTGCAGTGCCATCTGGAAGTGTGACTCCAGGCAGGAGAAAGACGACAATGTGGGAGAAGGAAGGCTGCGAGGGAATCTGAAATGCCGATTGCGTGGGCGAGATGATGGACGAAGGCTCGGTAATGACAGGGCGGCCGGAGATTATTATGCCTACAGGAGAGGACATTATGGATATTGTATAGGATGCGATCAAGCACCACGGCTCTCTTGGGTGGCCGTCAGGCTGCAAGTCGAGCGTGTGGCTTTGTTCATGGGAAAAAGCCGTGTTGACGGGCACCTTTGACATGTTTTGTGTTTTGCGTCATGGCAGGCCCATGCTTCGCCCCACATCGCCTCACATCGCCTGACATGTGCAACGTCTATTGCTAACTTACTACAGCCGCAAAGGTCTTGCTTGCTATGCTGGAATCCGCAAATATAATCCTGGCAATACCTCTGCAATGCCCTGTAGAATAGAGTTGCGTTACATTCTAAAGCCGTGTGCAGCGCTGACCCATTCCTGGTCCAGCCTATCACTGACCCTCTTCAATACCCGACTTCCACCCATCAGAGTCTGGAACAAACGGATTCGCTCATCTTTGCTCATAATCAGAAAGCGAGAGATTCCAGTTGCAGATACGTGCTTCGGCTCGGCTGCAAAGGGTGAGCTGGAACAGAGTGCAATTTCGAGCGTTGTCGGCTTCTTCAGCAATGCGACAATGACCTGAGCCGCAAAAGGATTTAGACCTGCTCGACGCAGGAAGACCTCATACTAGCAACGGCCAATAAGATGAGATGCTTCTCAGTATGGCTGTAGTACTTACTGTTGTTTCCTGAGCTATGGGCTTGATGTCACCAATGTCGGCTGAGCCGTACGGTAAGCCGTATTTTCCCATTTCTGTCACTGTGGCACGCGCGAGGGCCTTCTCGCCTCCGGGAACGTACTTCACCAGCACATCACCCTCCATATTAGAAGTAAATTCCTCAATCGCTTTCAATGCTTCACTATCGCGTGGGTCCTCTGGACGACTTGACCCCAACTCTTCCAATTCACGACCGAGTCCCTCGCTGATCAGGACAACCAGTCTCTCGTATCGTGACTGGAGAGTAGCCAAACACTCCTTTATCAGGGACCTTTCTATTTGCCCTGGAAGAGCTCGCTGTTTGATTTGTTGCAAGGAAGTAAGAATCAGACCGGTGGAAGGCGAAAGAATCATGTCGGCATCTTTGGCTGGCGAGTGTGGTAGAGTGTAGTCTCGGTACACCATCTCAGCGTTTGGAAACATCTGTTCTATCCGCCTCAACATGCTTCTTTGTTGCAGAAACTTTGACGAAATAAGGAACGAACACGGCTTAAGGTCGGCTGAGATATTTGTAGGCGAGGGCATAGGGTCCGTCATCTTCGTCTTCTTATCATCTCTAAAATGTGCTTTGTGCATCTCGTTTTTTGCCTCCCCGACAGGCCTTATAGATGCCTGAACTTTCGATATGTTCACTGAATGAGCACTTTTGCTGAAGAAAGGCCTTTTCACGGCGTCAGTTCTTACAGACCCAGCAGCCTTTCCACGTGTCTCCAAAAACCTGTGAAGATCACTTGTAGCAGAGAAACCACCAAACATGATCTCATTGCCATTACCGTTTTTTGTCTTCTGTGTAGGCTTCAGCCGTGAAATCTGTTCTTGTGACAACTGTTGGCTTGTATCTCTAGTCTTTGTTTCCAAACCTGTCGGTAGATGGCGCTGTGGCACTGTTTTTTTGTGACGTGCCTCTATCGTTTCCTCCTCTGACTCCAGCTTGTGCTTTTCTAATAAAGCTTGCATGCCCTGGCTGTCCTCATTGAGCACTGACTCTAGTTCGTCCTCGTCGTTTTCATCAAAGATTCTGAGCCCATCCCGCTTCCATACCTGCGTAGAGCTGGTTGCAATGTTACCTGTCCTGGCTTCACTTAGAATCCTCTTCATCTCGGTTTCGCCATGTAATGTCTCGTCTAGCTTTAGTGTTGACATCTTTGTCGTCAAGAAACCCCATTGCAACTCTCTTTCCGGGACTGATATTCCATGCCAGGCTGGCGCAAATTTCAGCTCCTCACGTTTGATCCTACGTAGAAATTGCGCCTGGGATTCAAACTCAGTGGGATACTGGCAATTGTCGCGGTTTCGCCGACTATACTCCATCCAGGGCGCGACGGGTAGTGGAGAGTCGATATACGGAACGTCAACACGTGCAGTAGTATCAGCATCGGACAGCTGCTCATTTCCAACAGACTTGCTCACTTTTTCAGCGAGTGGTTCGATTTCCGTAAAGATTTCAAAGTCCTCACTCGCGAATTCATCATCACCATCGGCATTATCCTGACCCCAGGGCTCATATGCGATAAGCTCACTTAATTCTGTGGCAAAAGAGACCGATTTGAGCTTCTTCATCGGTGAGGTAGAAAACATCAACGGTGTCAACGGTCCTTCCACTTTCAAGTCTGCAGCTTTACGCTTCGAAGGAACTAGTGTACATGCCTCGGACAATGGGCTGAATGATAGCGGGTAAATCATGTCGAGAAGCATCGAATCACTGCTGTCAGATTCTTTCCGAGCAAGGGAATCTGCAGCCATGATCTCACTTTGAATTATTTCTGTCTCTGCACGGACGGAGTCGCTGCTATCTGACACAAGCGGTAGATTGTTTGTGGGTGATGAAGGTATGTAGGGCTCCTGCAATGGAGAAAGCGGGAGTAAGGGAGGCGTGATGGGGCGAATAGTTAGATCCTAAACTATTCAGCATAGGTAAGCAAAGATTGTGCATCATCCAATTACCCGATTGTAAATCTTATCTTCGGCCTTCAGTACCTCACTATCCTCTGGCACGTATGCATCGCGGATAGCTTCTTGGAGATGCAAGAGTGTGCTTCTGGAGACAGCAAGCTTTTCAGTTTTGGCTTGCGCATCGCATTGTGCAGGATATGTGTGGTATACAGTGGGCCATTCAAAGCCGTCCTCGTTTTGTTCATTAACAAGCTCAGATGGGATGTTGAGATTCCTGAAGTCTGGTGGTACCACACTGCCAAAATTCATCATGTCGATGTCGTGGTCTGACTGGAGAACTGGAAGCTCGGGTTTTAGGTCCAGGATGCATTTTCTGTTGTCAGTCTGAAAACGGCTGACCGAAGGCTCTTCTTGGTAGGCATAGATTGTCTTGAGCAGTAGCACAGCGTCTCTCTTTACTGTAAGTCGTTCCTTTGTTAGGGTGGAGGCAATATCAGTAGTGGAGGACTCGGAGAGACTGAAAAGGCTCTCGTCAAGAGCTGTAGTCGACAATACATCCAATTTCGGAAACGGGAGTGGCTCAGTAGTATAGTCGATACAGAGGCCTTGTGCTCGTGCATATTCAAGAGGGCAGAGTTCATCTTGTGAGCTTGGTTGGTCCATGGTAGCCACACACGTGCAGTCGCATATTTCGACTCACTCAAGTGAAGATCAAGGTTTTTTGGCCTGGCATTTGTGGGTGATTAAGCAAGGGTTAGGTTTTGGATCGAGCATCGTTTCCTTCCTCGTCTGTCTCACCAACATGCCCACGTGGCGAGTGCACGTGAGAAGTCAACACCAACAGAAGCCACAACATCACAGACCAGACAGCATGGGGTTCAGAGTGATTTGACGATTAAATCTTCATTGTACTCAGCCGTTGCTGTATGGTAGGCCGTTTCATATGTTCTCAAATGAATGTGCAAAAGACACTTAATTATTTACAGCTCATCATCTTAGCTCCCTGCACGGTAGGCATAACAAGCCCATGTCACATGTGTACGCTTATGGAGCGGTTGGCTTCTGACCAAAACCGAGCGACTGGTTCCCACCGTTGAAGGCAACAAACTGCGCCCTGAACATGGTGTCGCCATAGATTTGCAGACCCGAACCCTGGTTGCCCTGTACACCACCGAAGCAGGTCGTGTTTGCCTTGTCTACAGGCGCAAAAACGAGCTGGTTGCCAGGAATCTTGGCCATGTACGAGTCACCAATGGCAACGCTCATGTCGGGCAGAGTAGTTGCGCATGGGAAGATGAAGCCACCAACTTGAGCATTGAGCTGAGCGCCCTTGACTTGCGAGTAGTATGCATCGGCGACCTGCTGGTCCACAAGAAGAAGAGATGTACCAGTGTCGGCAATAGCGTCAGATCCTTGTGGGTTGTCGAACAACTGGTCACCGACGGCAAACTTGGTAGAGCCGAATTGCCAGAAGCCAGTCTCAGCCTTGACAGGAATCCAGGCCATCTGGCCCTCAAACTTGGTGGCATCGATTTTGCCAAACTCGTAGACACCAGAGCCATCCGGGTTGAGATCGGCAGTAAATACAGGCAAGGCCAAATCGTTCATGACATTGGCGAAGAAGGTTTTCTGAGGAGTCTTCTTGGTGCCGTCGTTGACTGGTCCGTTGTCAGTAAAAGGCACTGCATCTGAGAGTTGGTCCACTTACTCGTATTGAGTTTGGAGAAGGCAAGGCCCATAAGGCCGTCAGTGTTTACATCTTGAACAAACGATTGGGAGACCTGGTTGGCGAGCTCAACCGCCTGGTCCTTGACCGTGACACCTCCAATGGTGACGGTATCTCTGCCCACGACACCAGCGGCGCCGGAACCATCGCCGTAGCTAATATTCCATTGAGCACCGTCCACCTTCTTGAACGTAGCCGACTTGGTCGGATCAAAAGCAGTGTGTTGACCAATGAGTTGAGGGTTAAGCTCGGTGCTGAAACACCAACTGCACGTCACAGATTAGTACATGGTTGGCTGTAAGTAGGAAGGAACACAAGCTTACAGATCAGAGGAACCAGTATCAAAATCCAAGTTGAGCGTCTGTCCGCCAATGTCGACGGGGGACAAGAATAGGGCGGCATTGTCAGCAGGGTTAGCGGCAACTGTTCCAGACGAGTTACTGTTGGAGCCAGCGGCGGCAGCATCAGTGACGGTGTCGTTGCCCTTTGTTTGCTTGGAGAAGGAGATGAAGCCATCCTTGACCATGAAGTCTTCCTTGACCTTGAAGTTGTATTTCCTGAATACCTTCCTCATGGCAGCAGGGCCATTGGGGCCCGTGGGATGGGCCTTGTTCAATTGCCTAGGAACCTTGAAGGAACGCTTCTGGAGACCCCTCTTGCGTGAGGGAGCCGGGACGGCTAGCACAACGGCTGCCAAAAGAGCAACAAAAAGAAGAAATCGTAGGGAAGGCATGTTGAGCAAACGCTGACCGGCAGCCTGACAGAATGAAACTGTCGTTTGGAGAAAGTAAAAAGAGGAGAAGAGGAAGAAGGAAACGGACGAAACAAAACACAGCACTTGGTAGAAAACAAAAAACGGAAACCCAGGCCTGGCCTTGGAGGATGGTTATCAAATGAGTGCGCGAAGGGTGGCTTTTAAAAAGAAGGAATAACGGCGCAAGCGCTACATTCAGAGAGGGTGAAACTCGTAGAGAGATGAAACCCGAATCCACAATCGGATCATAGGGCGCTGCATATTGGAATGTTTGGGAGCGCTAAGCGTACGTATACTCCAGACTGGGACGGAAATGCACGCGGCAGCCGACCAAACGCTACGCGTACTACGTCCAAGGAGATGCATGGAGGAAATGGCAGCTAGCTGCTGTCAGTCTGTCAAGGCCATTGGCTCTATGCAAGCCTGGGTAGCCAGCGTGGAGTCGAATGCCGCCATGTGGGTCGGACCGGCGCAAGCGCAGTGGCGAGGGAGCATCCAGAGCCTCAGCATGGCTGTATGGATAGTAAGGGGCAGACGAGTTCGTTACGCGTCCATGTACGAAGGTGGTTGTGGTAGTGGAGCGAGAGAGGGCTCGTCGGCGTGGGTCGCCGCCCAGGTGCGTTTCAGTGGCGTAGCATTCGCAGACGCCATGCAATACTACAGCAAGCAGCCATGGCAGTGAGGCTACGATGGGCCGTCCATGGCTGGCTACTCGGGGCATTCCGCACACGCACCTGGCAGGCGTCTGTCTGCTGGCTTGCTGGCTTGCTGACTTGGACGGCAAGAGCCCTGCTCGGACAAGTTTGCAAACACTGAAGTCTTGCATGTCTCTCCCGGGCGCCGCATGAGGTTGGCGCCGCTGAGGGCGTGTGCGAGTTGCATGAACGCGAGAGTGTTTCAGGGTGCCAAGGCCAGACAAGCTAACTCGGCCATTCGGCTCCCATGAAACCCAGGGGCAGCTCGAGCAGACACAGCGGCCGGCCAGTGGCGTCTGCCGCACCGTGTCGACAGAGAAGCATCTGCGGCAATGCTTAGCTGTGATGCCGCGCCATCTGCCGCCAAACACTCTCGGTCGTGGACACGATGCTGGCCGTGGCATAAACACTCTCGGTCGTGGACACGATGCTGGCCGTGGCATAAACACTCTCGGTCGTGGACAAGACGCTGGCCGTGGCATAAACACCTCACCCCCTCGGACATGAGCCTGGCTTCCAGGCCGCCTACCCTTGACTTGCTTTTCCAATCTGCAAACCGCTTCCTCATGGGACCCTAAGCCGCACCAGGCCAATGGCCGCAGCCAAGAGGGCCTACCAAACACTGTTGTTTGGCCATGTGCGTGCGCGAGGCGTGCATGGCGTGTCCATGTGTTTGGCAGCGAAGCAAAGAAAACATGTGTGCAGGGCACATCACCAGTCCTCGACTCGGCAAAAACGTCGACGTGCAGCCTCTCGGCTACTACCCAGCAACGTCAGGACCACACGTGTATACTTGCGGCCACCATGACAGCCGCCATTGCTTTGCTGCTGCATAGAATCAATGCATTAATTCGTATATCAAATAACAATGCTTTTTGTTCCCCCCCTGCTATCATGACGCGACGTTGCCGCTCCCCGCCTTCGTGCCCAGTGTGCATGTTTGCTCCCCATACAAACAACCACAGGCACCACGACATGCCAACCGCTACCACGCCATTTGCTGCCGAATCCGTTGCCTCCCACTGTGCTTGGCCCATCCGCCATGGCTCCCTCCAAGCCTTCGCGTGCCTTGTGCTCCGGCGCGGCAACACCCCACTTCGCACTGCGCCTCCCATTGCCGTCCATCGCATAGCGTAATCGGTAGCGTTTCAACCGCCGTCGTGTGTTCCAAACATTGCAAATCAACCCTTTCATCCAAGAAGCTCTACATCTAGCCCAATCGCTCTCATAAACAAGTTTACGTTTGCCGTTCGAGCACTCGCCATGTCTGGTGGTAAAGCCTTGCTCACAGAAACAGTTTCCATGACGCGGTCCTTCACTCCGAGCACCAGCCGCTGCTGTTGCTCTGGGCTGGCTCCCACTCCCATCGCTGCCAGGAACTGCCAGATGTACATGTCGTCCGTGTCGTTGATGCTCCCGGGGAACAGGTAAGGGAGAACCGGCTCAATAACGTCAAACAAGCGGTTGTAGAGCCCAGTCCATTGCTGCCAATCACTCACCATCTCGGGGGCCGACTGCTTGAGCAGTTCGGCCCGCGAAATCAGGAATGTCAGCAGAGTAAGGCCTATCCTGCTCCGCGCCACTACGTGCAGGTTGGTGCGGTCTAGAACAAGGCCAAGCAGACCAATGACAATGTTCAGCGGCGCATCTGAAATGTGCGCGTGGATGGGCGACATGACCGTCTGCGAAAAGAGATCGACTTCCTCACGGATTGCCGCACTCAGCGGCTCATCAGGCGTAGCAATCGCCTGGCCCACTACCGAAAGAGCGTCGAGGTGCACAACAATCATAGTCACCACTGTGATGCGCTCCTGCTCGTTAATGTGGCGGAACAGACGTGGCACAACCTTCTTGCCCTTGGCGTGTGAAAGGATGGAAATGAAGGGATGAGGTGTGCTGTTCATGTTAGTAGGAGCAGCTTCATGGTGGGCGGGGGAGGGCACGACATACTTGGGGTTGATGGGCTCCATAATCTTGGTGTTGAGCCACAGTTGCTCGTGGAGAGCCTCAATCCGCGATCGCCATTCCATGTGTGCTTGGATGGCTTCGGGAGGGCTGTTTTCCTGAATTGGCATTGGCATGGCGCGTTCATGGTCTTCCATTTGCATCAACGTCTTGTACACAGCCTCAATGTTACGAAGCGTTTGTTTACGATCTGCGATCGAGGATCGAGCGTGTCTTGGGAGCTTGTCGTTGGTTTCCGGTCGCTTGAGGTTGAGCAGTGGTCGTGGCGTCTTGGAATTGCTGAATGCAATCTTTCCAAGACTGCCCTCGACGACGAGTTGTTTGGCTTTTGGCCGTGCTTTGGCAGCCTCGACCGCCCGTTGAATCTGTTGCTCCATGCGCTGCATGTGGTTGTCGCCTCCGCGGCCATGTCGACGGGCGCCAAACCGGTTGTTCGTCTGGAAGAGATAGGTTTGCGCAAACTGGCTTGCTGGCTGCTGGGGGTTGTGGCGTGGAGCGCCCCGGATCTGGCTGAAGACCTGGTAGTAAAAGTCCTCTGCAATGGCAGCTTCAGGGCCCCGCTCTTCCAGGTTTCCAGTCGCCGTCATCAGCTGCTGCAGCTGGATACGAGTGATGAAGTTCTTGTCCTGAGGCGTCATGAGACCATTGTCCTTTGCCAAGAGAGCAATCTTGTGATTTCGCTTCGCCCGCTTTGCGTCTTCTTCAAGAAAAGCAGCACGCTCGGCCTCGGACAGCTGAAGGAGCTGCTCCGGATGGGTAATGACCATTCCAGGAAACGAAGGGCCTCTGTTATGGGCTCCTCCTGGCTGACCGCGATGCGGGCCAGGCTGCATAGGCTGGCCCTGGCCGGCGAGGCGGTTGGGGTTCTGCAGGATCTGGCGGGGCTGTGCAGGTGAACCTTGGATCTGGTTCTGCGGGGCACCGGGATCGTTGGAATGGGGTCGCTGTCGCTGGAGAATGGTGGGCTGCTGGGGCGATTGGGACTGGACGGGCTGGTCTGGCAATTCGGCGCGGAGCTGCTGTTGATGTCTCGGTGGCATGCCCTGCTGCTGCTGGGGCCTCTGCAGGATCTGGGGCGCAATGTGGCCAGGCATACCGGGATACTGTGGCTGGCCCTGGGGGAACTGGCCTTGCTGCTGGTACTGCTGCTGAGGGTAGCCGGGGAAGGCCTGGGGCGGTGGCTGCTGAGCCGGCGGGGTAGCTTTAGAGTCATTGTTGAGGGATTGAACGCGCATCATGGCCTCGACCTCCTCCATGCTCATGACCTTTCTGGTGGGCGCGGGCATCTGGGCAGCGGCAGCGGGTTGTGGCGAGGGCTGGCGCTGGGCGGCGGGCTGCTTGGGCTTGAGGCCCCAGATGTCGGCACGCGCCTCAAGCTGGGGAATGTACTCGGGGTCCTTGTAGCTTTCATAGCCAGAGCGATTGGGCTTGGAGGCCGGGGGGACGGAGGGCCTCTGCTGGTACTGGTGCTGCTGCTGCTGCTGCAATTGCTGTTGCTGGTGGTGCTGGGGGATCTTTTGGCGGGCATGGAACAGCATCTGCTCCTCCTGGATGGTGCCAGCAACCATTGACGTCTGGCCGGCAAAGTCAAAGTGCTTGCCAACCGACTGCTGCGTGGCCGGGCCGTCGCCGAAGGTGTCGTCATTGCGGTCGTCGGCATCGTCGTCTAGCTGGTCGCCGAGGCCGTCGTAGGTGTCGTCGAAGTCGATTCTGTGAGCAGTGAGAAGCAGGCCTGGTGGGCGTCGAGGGCGACATGGACATACACATCGTCATCGGCCGCCCCGCCGCCGAGGGCAGCAAAGGCATCGTGCTGGCCAAAGCCGGGGGCGGCAGTCGAATGGCCCTGGTCACGTGGCAGCGTCGTGTCGAAGCCGAAGAAGGACATGGCGGCGGGCCTCTCTCACCACACGCGGGACGTGGTGGTGGTGGTGGTGGTGTTGGTGGTTGTTGGGGGGCGTGTGCGGCAGTGGTGGTGGTGGACGGTGGATAATAGACGGCAAAGTCCGCGCGCGCTCGTATGGCCCTCGTATCCCCGGCCAGCCTAGCCTGCTATACCTGGTCCTCAGCCACACTCTCACTTGTCTACCATTCTTACCACTGCAACCACTCCTTTTCTGACGTCTCTCCTCCTACTCTTCTTTTCTTCCATCGGCCTTCTCCTTCTTTTTCTCCTTCCCCACCCGGTCCTCCCTTTCACCCCGCCTCCCACAGCCCCCCCGTGGCCTTCATCTTCCGCGTTGCCCTGCCCATGCGCACGCCTTGCGCCAAGTAGCAGTCGCTCGTTCCCCCTGCACCACGTCGCCGCCGCCGCCAAAGACGCCACGCGCACCCCTAAACCCACTCTTGCTCGCAGCATAAAGGCAGCCTGGCAGAGTGGAGAGTCTCCGACGTCACTAGGAAAGCTCCAGCCTGTCGATCACGACTCGCAGTCTCAACCACCAACACCAACACCGTCCGCCATCCGCCATGGCCGGCAGCCAGCGCTATCTCCGCTACATTGTCTTCGCCGTCATCGTATGACCATCCCCTGTCACCTCACTCACGCCCGCGCAGCCATTGACTCCCTCCAGTCCCTGTTCCTTCTCTACTTCATCGGCTCCTCATCGTCCGTGCCTGCCACAAGCTGGCCCGCCTACCAGGATGCAAAAACCCCAGCCACACCGCCCCAGGGCAATGCCGCCGTGGTAGACGACGACGAATCCCCTCGCACTCCCGCCCCCAGCACCGGCGCCCACACCAACCCCGGCACTTCGCTCAATGACAAGACGCTTCCCCCCGCCACCATTGCCGGTGACCGCATGAACGCAACCTTTGTCACCCTCGCCCGCAACCAGGACGTCTGGGAGATTGCAAAGTCGATCCGCCACGTCGAGGACCGCTTCAACCGCAAGTTCAACTACGACTGGGTCTTCCTCAACGATGACGACTTCAGCGACGAGTTCAAGAAGGTGACGACGGCCCTCGTCTCCGGCAAGACAAAGTACGGCAAGATCCCCACGGAGCACTGGTCCTTCCCTGAGTGGATTGACCAGGACAAGGCCGCAAAGGTCCGCCAGGAGATGAAGGAGAAGAAGATCATCTACGGAGACTCGATCAGCTACAGACACATGTGCCGCTACGAGTCCGGCTTCTTCTTCCGCCACCCATTGATGCTCGACTACGAATGGTACTGGCGCGTCGAGCCCAGCATCGAGCTGTACTGCGACATCAACTACGACACCTTCAAGTACATGGCTGAGCACAAGAAGAAGTACAGCTTCACCCTCAGTCTGTACGAGTACGTCGAGACCATCCCCACGCTCTGGGATGCCACCAAGAACTTCACAAAGCACTTCCCCCAGCACATCAGCAAGGACAACTCTATGAAGTTTCTCAGTGACGACGGTGGCGAGACCTACAACCACTGCCATTTCTGGTCCAACTTCGAGATTGGCAACCTTAACTGGCTTCGGTCTGACGCATACATTGACTTCTTCACCTCTCTCGACCATGCTGGTGGTTTCTTCTACGAGCGCTGGGGTGATGCACCTGTTCACTCCATCGCCGCCGGTCTGCTCCTGCAAAAGGATGAGCTCCACTTCTTCAACGATATTGCTTACTACCACGTTCCCTTTACGCACTGCCCCACGGGCGAGAAATACCGCCTTGACCACAAGTGCTCATGCAACCCCAAGGACAACTTTGACTGGAAGGGTTACAGCTGTAAGTTTGACCATCTAGCTTTGGCAAACACCCATACTTACATGTCAACAGGTACTTCTCGCTTCTATGAGTTGAATGGCCTGGAGAAGCCAGCAGGGTACGAAAAAGAGCAGGACTAGATGCTCAATTTCACTTTTTGTTTTCAATTCCAGTGCCAATCGCCGTCGGCTTTGTTTTTCTCTGCTTCTAGCGGACCCGACGTCTGACGTAGTCCAAAGTGCACCGCTCTCCTCATCAGACAAAAGACGACTTGCAGTGAAGATTGTCTTGTTTGTGCTCGCCATCATCACTCTAGGGATTTGCATGGTCAGAAGACGTCGCACTGGAACATCACAGTCGCCGCAAAATTCGTTAGCCAAGTGGCCTTTATAGGGAAATCGGAGGGGGTCAGAAAAAAATTACTCTAAATGGCGTAAATGTTGGCTTGGCGTTGAAATCCATGCTTTGGTCATTTACCTCTGGCTTTGGCTGGTTGGCTGTCTGAGACGGGTCATGTCGTGGCTGTTATTCATTTACCTGTAGTGCTATATCTTATTGTAAACATTAGATTTACTGCTTAGACTAATGATGATGATGCGTCTGATATGTGCAGTTGATATCATTTCTTAATTATTTTTTTTTCTTCTTCGTCTTTTGTTCTATTATTAATCATTATAGTTGACTATACCACTGCCGTCTTTGTTGGCCTTGGGCACCCCGTACCTCTCGCTCAACTCATCTTCCTGTGACCGACTCTGTGGATCAAGATATGGCCGTTCGGCACGCACCGCAACGCGCACGGCGTGTCTGCGGTGTGGCGCAAATCCATATGATGCTGAATGATTCTACATTGCGTTAGGTATTGCTCTCACATTTGCTTGTATCAAGGATCCCAAGACTTACCGTGACTCTGTTATCCCAAAATGCAACATCACCTTCCCTCCACTGAAATCTCGCCTGAATCTCCGGGCTCGTGGCAACAATCTCATTCAACAGCCCAATGATATGATCAGACTCGGTCTTGGGCACACCCACAATCTTAGTCACGAACCCCGGGTTAAAGAACAGACTCTTCCAGCCCGTCACGGGGTTGGTTCGAACAAGTGGGTGCTCCGTTGTCACGGGTTCACGTCGTACCGTGCGGCCCAGGTCGCGCGACCCTTGGGCTTGCAGGTCGGCAGAGTGTACGGCGGTCAGTGACTCGAGGTACTTTTGCATGTGTGGCGAGAGCATATCGTAGGCTGCATATTGCGAGCTCCAGAGGGTGTCGCCACCGCCGCCTCGTGGGGGGCCCGTGAGAACTTTGAGCGATGTGTACGATGGTGGTTGGAGTTCATATGTTACCTGTTATCATGATGCGATCAGCAAGATCCCGGCGTCAAAAGGGTCAACATGCTTCTTACATCTGAGTGCCAGAGAAATGTGGGTGTGAACAGAGCTCGTAGGTCGGGACTTCCTTCTCCTGTGAAGATGACATGCACATCTTCGAGGCCCTCACGCTTGGGAACGCCCGTTGTGGCGTGCTTGTGTAGCTCGCCAAAATACTTGCCCAGCTCTCTTTGCTTATCAATGGTGAGGTTCTTTTGGTCGCGGAAGAAGACGACGCCTCGTGTCGCGATCAAGCGTGCTAGATCGTTCTTTTGTGCATCAGTGAGGTTTGCGAGGTCCACTCCATGTACTTCAGTCCCGATCTTGGGGTTGTAGTCAAAGACGTCTGTGGCAGAGGCAAGGAGGTTCTTGAAGTTTGGGTCTCCTAGTTGGCCTTTTTCTATATAGGGAATCTCCGTATATGCCGGCCATGTGATGTCTGGGAAGTGTGGTCTTAAATCTTCATACTCGTATGTGTCGTCATGTTGCTTGACTTTTGTTCGTCCCGGGACGTAGCCGTGTGCATTTGTGGGCTTTGAGGCCACCACAGGAGCGTCTGTAGAGCTGGGTTGATATTGTGGCTCAACAAGTCCAGGTGCCATGGCAGCGACAAGTGTATGATGTACGCCTTTTGGTATGGGAGTGATTGCAGCGTTTTGAGAGACCTCCTTCTATGTACGTCTTTCAGAGAGATTGGGGTAGAAGTGATAGAGCCTGCAATGGTACTCGAATCAAGAACCCAAATTACTAGATCAAAAGATGCTAGTACGACTCGAGAAGTGGAATGGTATCTGGGGGAAAGACAAAGCCAGTGAATCCGCTACTTATATCTTGTTGGGTAAAGTGATATCTAAAGTCCGTATTGTTGTGGGGAAACAATATGCCGGCCTTGCTGGAGCAATTGCGCCATCGCACCTAATCCGATGATCAATCATAGTCCACAACATTGACGACACTTTGCAACCTTACGCGTCGGAGGCGTATGAAAACACTCCTTGAATTATGGAGCACTGAGTGACTAATGGGAGCAGAGACGAGGTACTACACAGTCCTATATTCTATTGACCAATTTGTCTCTTGGTAGAATTGCGGCTCAGTGCACATCATTGCGTACAAAGCAGACTAACTGGGGGAGTGAGTTGCTGAAGTCGGTGTAAGACCAGACGCTAGCCTGATGTGGAAGCTGAGGGCATGGCATCATATTGCACCATTTCACCCTCTGACTTCAACATCGCCCGAAAATGGATTTTTTGCCCCAGAGCAACATGGGATTTTAGACGGTCAATGTTCCTGTTCTTTGCCGATCTTGTCCAAGCTGCAAGATTGGCGAGCACAGCCGCACGGGGAGGGTATGCGGAGATAGGACGTGGGGGCAGGGACGTGTGACGTTCCTAGGACTGTGTTGCTTGGTGGAGCTTGATGCCTTCGGATTGCCTGTGATTGTCACTTGTGATCCATACCAACAGCCTCTTAGCGATATGCAGCTAGAACCCGCAACTATTGACAATTGTCGCTTGTAGCTACTGATGCGACTAAATGCCCCCTTTGTAGTTCCTCCTCTTACTCTGCCGAAAAGATAACCATGCTTGCTCGAACGCTTCGACACCTGACGCCTGTACCGGTTGCAAAATGTGCAATACAATCAAATTATCAAAAGTGCCTTCTCTTATCGCTTCTCACTTGTATCCTCTGCAAAAAATATGCCAAGTCGATGGAGGATTCCCAAACAAAAAAGACACAGAATCTTTTTTATACTGATCGCCCTGTGATGAAGGGTATCGGGACACCGTTCAGATTTAGCCACTGTATCGAGGCTTTGCGCCCCTCACGTTGGGACTCGACGCCAGGGGCACTTTGGCCGCCTGTGGATTCCGAAGCATTCTGGACACGCCGTCGGACGATGCCCTTTTCTTCAAGAATGGGACTCCAGTACGGGTGTGTGCCTTTGTGTATGCGATAGAGTTCGTAGTTGCCGAAGATAAGAACGAGAGTGGATGTGACGGGTATGCGTGAGATGTTATGGAAGATGCGTGTGGAGCTCATGTTTCACGACTTAAATCAGGCCGGAGATGTAGAACGGAGTAGTGAATGATGTATTGGACGCGCTCAGCACCTTTCTGAGGTTGAGTATCATGAGTAAGTAGGCGCGGGAGGCGGGATGGGGTGATGCGGAGTCTGGCGAGAGATGAGTGGCTGCAGCGCGGGGACACGCCTTAGCGCGATTTCGCCGCCGAGCCGCATCAACTTTCTCAACTATGCGACAGCTCCATCCAATCCACACCGTCCAATCTTCCATAGGCAACCACGGCCAGGTTGCAACACACCATGCGTACTGGCACCTAAGCAAAGGACTCGAACTTAGAAACCGCATAAATTCAATCATCAACAAGCGCGGCTTCCCCGGTCCCGACAATCCAAAGAGTCACGCGCCTTGCGAAGACGCAAATTACCGCCATGGACGACCTCGAGAACCTCGAATTTCTATCGCTCGTTTCCAAGGTCACGTCGGAAATACAGAACCACGTTGGTGTCTCCGATAAGACACTTGCCGAGTTCGTCATCGACCAACATGCCGACTGCAAGGATGTTGCCGACTTCAAGAAACAGCTCGAGGATGTTGGCGCCGAGTTTCCACAGAGCTTGGTCGAGAGTATCGATCGTCTGATTTTGACTCTGCATCCCAAATACAAGAACAAAGGCACAGGCGGGAAGCAAGGAGGCGCAAATGCGGAAGACGACGGAGATGCAACAAGTCGCAAGACGCGTGTTTTCAAAGGGTTGGCCATTCCTGACAAGGAGGTGGAATATGATTTGGCAGATGAGGAGCCGACAAATGATGCGCCGCAGGCCGATGCGCTGGACGACACGTTTGCCATGCTGGAAGGACTGGCAGGGAAGGCACCAGGCAAATCCAAGGAGCGGTCGCGCAAGAGGAGCATGAGCCCATACGATAGCGATGACGACATCAGTAGGAGCAAACGACACAGGCGGAGGGACACATCACACTCTCGCTCGCCATCCAGGAGTCCGCGGCGGGGGCGGCAACGGGAGCAGAACGACGAGTTGGTTTTTGAAGACGAATTTGGCCGTACGCGAACCGTCAAGCCCAGCAATAAACAACGAAGCCGCAAAAAGTACCGCGACGAAGATGTCGAAGAGTTCCGACGGCCGCCCACTCCTGAGCTCGACGATGAGCCAGTGCTGTATAAGATTTACGACGGCAAGATCACGGGTGTAAAGGACTTTGGCTGCTTTGTCAATCTACAAGGGGTGAAGGGCAAGGTCGATGGACTAGTCCATGTCACCCAGATGATGGAGGGGCGAGTCAACCACCCATCAGATCTTGTATCGAGATGGCAGGAGGTCAAGGTTAAAGTTATCAAGACGGAAAACGGCAGAATATCGCTCTCGATGAAAGAGGTGGACCAGCGGACAGGTCGTGATCTTGCACCGGGAAAGCGTATAGCATCATTTGGAACCGGCGCGAACTCACAAGGTCTCGGTGGCATTCCAGGAGTTGATAGCTCTGTGCCAGTTGTTGAGGATGGCTACAACAGCCGTCGGAATGGCATGCGGAAACGTATGACTTCGCCAGAGCGATGGGAGATCAAACAACTCATTGCCTCTGGTGTAATCCCCAAATCCGACTACCCCGATATTGACGAGGACTTTAACGCTCATATCAACGGCGAGGGCGGTTTCGAAGAGGAAGAGGATGTTGACATTGAAGTCCGTGAAGAGGAGCCACCCTTCTTGGCTGGTCAGACCAAGCAATCACTAGAGCTTTCGCCAATTCGCGTTGTTAAAGCACCCGATGGCTCGCTCAACCGTGCCGCAATGGCCGGAGACACACTAGCCAAGGAACGTCGTGACCTTAAACAACAAGAAGCACAGGAGAAGGCGGCGAAAGAAGCGGCAAACGTGGACTTGAGCAGTCAGTGGAACGATCCTATGGCCCAACAACGGCAGTTTGCAAGCGATCTCCGCAACACTCGAACGAACGAACCCAGTCAAGCACTACCAGAGTGGAAAAAGATCTCCACAAACAGCAGAGAAACCTCTTTTGGCAAGCGTACCAATATGAGCATCAAAGAACAGCGAGAGTCGCTGCCTGTCTTCAAGTTCAGGAAGCAACTCCTCGAGGCCGTTGCCGCCCATCAAATCTTGATTGTAGTTGGTGATACTGGATCTGGAAAAACGACACAGATGACGCAGTACTTGGCTGAAGCCGGTTATGCCAACGAGCTTGTTATTGGCTGTACTCAGCCCAGGCGGGTAGCAGCTATGAGCGTCGCCAAACGTGTTGCTGAGGAAGTTGGCTGCACACTAGGGAACGAGGTCGGTTACACGATTCGATTTGAAGACAAGACTTCACCGGATACGCGTATCAAGTACATGACAGACGGTATCCTGCAGCGTGAAATTCTCCTGGACCCCATGTTGTCCAAGTATAGCTGTATCATGCTCGATGAGGCCCACGAACGTACAATCGCCACGGACGTCTTGTTTGGATTACTGAAAAAGACGCTCAAGCGACGACCTGATATGAAGCTCATCGTTACCAGTGCTACCCTGGATGCCGACAAGTTCTCCGAGTACTTTTACAAGTGTCCCATCTTTTCAATCCCAGGTCGCACGTTTCCTGTCGAGGTCATGTACAGCCGGGAGCCTGAGTCTGATTACCTTGATGCAGCATTGGTTACAGTTATGCAGATCCATTTGACAGAACCAGCAGGTGATATCTTGCTCTTCTTGACAGGAAAAGAAGAAATCGATTCTTCTTGCGAGATTCTGTCTGAGCGTATGAAGGCCTTGGGGCCGAACGTACCAGAGTTGATGATTCTACCTATCTACGGTGCCTTGCCATCTGAAGTGGCATCTCGCATCTTTGAGCCCGCGCCCGCAGGGAGTCGAAAATGTGTCATTGCTACCAATATCGCTGAAACCAGTTTGACTATTGACGGTATCTACTACGTTGTAGACCCAGGTTTCGTCAAGCAAAGTTCTTATGACGGAAAGCTAGGCATGGATCGTTTGCAGATTACACCTATTTCCCAGGCTCAGGCTCGCCAAAGAAGTGGCAGAGCAGGAAGAACCGGACCAGGAAAATGTTTCCGTCTGTACACCGAAGCAGCATTCCAGAACGAGATGTTGCCGACAACTATTCCAGAGATTCAACGTCAGAACTTGTCAAACACGATTCTCATGTTGAAGGCTATGGGCATTAATGATCTGTTGCATTTTGATTTCATGGATCCACCACCCACCAACACCATGTTGACAGCTCTGGAAGAGCTGTATCAGCTGGGCGCGTTGGATGACGAAGGGCTGCTCACCCGTCTTGGTCGGCAAATGGCGGATTTCCCCATGGATCCTTCTCTCTCCAAGTCACTGATCAAGTCAGTCGAACTCCAGTGCTCAGACGAGATTCTCACAATCGTGGCTATGATTAGCGCCACTCAGAACGTTTTCCATCGTCCTCGAGACAAGCAGCAGCAAGCAGACCAGAAGAAGCAGAAGTTCAACGATCCATCTGGCGACCACATAACCCTTCTCAATGTCTACAATGGCTGGAAACAGGGCGGCTTCAGTACACCGTGGTGCCATGAGAACTTTGTCATGCCCAAGAACATGCAACGCGTACGTGACGTACGAAACCAGTTGCTGCAAATCATGGCACGACACAAGCATCAAGTTGTGTCTTGTGGTCGGAACACCATCAAAGTTCGGCAGGCACTCTGCTCGGGTTTCTTCCGCAATTCAGCGCGTAAGGATCCTGCCGAGGGCTACAAGACGCTTGTCGAGGGTACACCTGTGTACCTGCACCCTTCTTCATCGCTCTTTGGTAAGCCTGCCGAGCATGTCATATACCATTCACTTGTCGAAACTACCAAAGAGTACATGCATTTCTGCAGTGCCATTGAACCGAAGTGGCTAGTGGAAGCTGCACCTACGTTCTTCAAGGTTGCGCCGACGGACCGCTTGAGTAAGAGGAAGAAGGCAGAGAGGATACAGCCGCTACACAACAAGTTTGCAGGCGAAGACGATTGGAGACTGAGTGCTCAGCGAAGGGCAGGAAGGGGCGGTGGTGGTACATGGGGCTGATTCTATGCACATTTGGCAAAAAAGCTGCTTTTTGGCATGTATGTAATACCTTTTGAACTTATTATGCAGCTGGTTCTGACCAGTCACCGTTTATGTGAGAACATGTGTAACAAGGCGTGATGTTGGTAGTCGAATCTGGAGTGATGGCGATCTTTGTCTGGTCAACATAGTAGTAGTGGAGGAGCACGGGCCTACACTTAGTTCCTCATCCGGACAGCGCGACCGCGTTTTCGCGTGTTTACAGTGCCCCCGCAAAAGTCCCAGGGCTCCTGCTAGAGTGAACAGCATCCCATACCACCGTAACCATACGCAAAAAACCATGTCGTCTCTTCTGGATCTCGCGCTCAATTCGGACGCTGCGCCCACTCCCTCGAGCGCCTTCGGCAACGATGCACGAACACCACTGATGCGATCCTCGTCGGCCAGACCCCGCGGACCGCCTTCTGAAAGCGCTGGCGCCAACAGTGATGTTGAAGGAGACCCGGACGACGAGATCATCGGGGCACGATTGCCAGGCAGGCGCACCAACGCTCCACGGACAGATATTCCAAAAGTGGTCGATGTTACGGGAGAGACACTTTCGCTGCGCTTCCAGGAGTTCCTGGAGAAGTGAGCTTCACGATGCACAATGGACAATGCAAGCTGGCTGACCATAAGAACAGCTATACAGAAGACCCGTCCTCTTCATTACTTCCAACATCGAGTGCGGTGCCTACTACAGACAAATACTACATTGCCCAAATACGTGGTATGAGGCTTTACGGCCTTTCTACCCTCTATGTCGACTACACGCACTTGCTCAGGCACGAAGATGGCATCCTCGCAGCTGCCATTGCAAGCGAGTACTATCGGTTCCTGCCCTACATGGTTCGATCGCTCCATAACCTTATCGCAAAGTACGAACCCAAGTACTTCCGCCAGCACAAGCAGCCCGCCTCCACAGCTTCTGCGACAGCCACCTCGAATGCTGGAAACCCAGAAAGTCAGAATGAGAGTCTCAACGAGAAAACCGCGAACCAGCAGACCGACAAGCTCTTCACCTTAGCTTTCTATAATCTGCCCCTCGTTTCACGTATTCGGCAGCTCCGCACCACGTCCATTGGTAGCTTGCTGTCAATCTCGGGCACTGTAACACGAACCTCTGAAGTCCGCCCAGAACTCTCAATGGCCACTTTTGTGTGCGAGATCTGCAATACCGTTGTGCCAAATATTGAGCAAACTTTCAAATACACGGAGCCCACGCAATGCCCAAACATAACATGTATGAACAGGGAAGGCTGGCGACTTGATATTCGGCAGTCGACCTTTGTCGATTGGCAAAAGGTGCGCATCCAGGAGAACAGCTCGGAGATCCCCACTGGTAGCATGCCGCGAACAATGGACGTCATTCTGCGAGGAGAAATGGTCGACCGTGCAAAGGCTGGAGAGAAGTGCATCTTTACTGGTACTGTCATTGTCATTCCTGACGTGAGCCAATTCCGTGTTCCTGGTGTAAGACCACAAGCAATGAGAGATACATCAAATGCTACGCGTGGCAACGATGTGGGTGGATCTGGCGTCAGCGGCCTTAAAGCCCTTGGTGTCCGAGACCTCACATATCGCATGTCTTTCCTAGCATGCATGGTCTCTCCAGACCACTCAACTCCTGGACAGTCTTCAAACCATCATTTGACCGGTCAAGCTAGCAACATTCTTGCATCTCTGGGCCAGGGTCAAATCGAGTCCAATGCAACAAGCGGCGAGGAGGCGCAGGAAGAATACCTTGGCACCCTGACTGCTGCTGAGATTCAGGATCTCAAGGATATGGTACACAAGCCCAATATTTTCATGCGCCTTGTCGACTCAATTGCACCAATGGTCTACGGTCACCAGGTCATCAAGAAAGGTCTGCTCCTTCAGCTCATGGGTGGTGTGTCGAAAGAAACACCAGAAGGTATGGCGCTCCGTGGAGACATCAACATCTGCATTGTCGGCGATCCTTCAACATCAAAGTCACAGTTCCTCAAGTACATTTGCAGCTTCCTTCCTCGCGCCGTTTACACTTCGGGAAAAGCTTCGTCGGCTGCCGGTCTTACAGCTGCAGTTGTCAAGGATGAGGAGACTGGCGAGTTCACCATTGAAGCTGGAGCTCTGATGCTTGCTGACAATGGCATCTGCGCTATTGACGAGTTTGACAAAATGGACGTCGCAGATCAGGTCGCTATTCACGAGGCTATGGAACAGCAGACTATTTCGATAGCAAAGGCGGGAATTCAGGCTACGCTCAATGCTCGCACCTCGATCCTTGCTGCTGCCAATCCTGTAGGCGGTCGGTACAACCGAAAGACGACGCTGCGCGCCAATGTCAACATGTCTGCACCCATCATGTCACGTTTCGATCTATTCTTTGTGGTGCTTGACGAGTGTGACGAGGCTGTTGATCGTCATCTTGCCGAGCACATTGTTGGCATTCACCAGCACCGAGATGAGGCCGTGGACCCTGAATTTAACACGGAGCAGCTACAGCGCTATATCCGATTTGCGCGGACTTTTAGACCGGAGTTTACTGACGAAGCAAGAGAAACACTTGTTGAGAAGTACAAGGAGTTGCGTGCGGACGACGCCCAAGGCGGCATTGGCCGCAACAGCTACCGGATTACGGTGCGCCAATTGGAGAGCATGATTCGTCTCTCGGAAGCTATTGCAAAAGCGAATTGCGTGACGGACATTACACCCGAATTCGTCAAGGAAGCGTACAATCTCCTCCGACAGTCGATTATTTCGGTAGAGAAGGACGACGTTGAGGTAGAAGATGATGACGACGAGGCTCTTCTCGCGGCTGCGGCAGCTGCCGAGCAGGACAGGGATGCTGCCATGGGCGATGACCAGCAGGAGGCAGCACGAGACCGGACGGCGACACCGGCGGTAGCGCCGCGGGAGAAGACGAAGATTACACACGACAAGTACGTTGCGATGCGCAACATGTTTGTCAAGCGCGTCAACGAAGACCAAGAAGAGACACAAGACGGAGTGGAAGAGGAAGAGCTGCTCGTGTGGTATCTGGAGCAAAAGGAGAATGAGTTGGAGACGCAAGAGGACCTGGAGAAGGAGCGGGCTCTAGCGAAGAAGGTGCTGAAGAAGGTTGTCAAGGTACGTATTGAGAAGCAGTCGGAGATGCAGCGTGATGTGTACATGTATGTGTTTGAATGTGCTAACAAGATGGAAACAGGAGCAATACCTCATGATGATCCGGGGTGAAGGCCTGGCAGACGAACAGGGACAGGCAGAAGGTAGTGACAAGGTGGTTTACGTGCTGCACCCCAACTGTCCGATTGAGGATATTGCCTAGGCGGCCAAGGATTCAATGTAATCTCATATTATACCCAACTTCCAAACTACCAGATGTGGTTTTTTGTTTTGTTTTGTGTTGCATGTCCTTGCTCATAGCATTGTTGATGCATTGTATCCAAGAAAGGTGTAAATCACGTGATCGTTTTACCAAGATAGGTCTCGGAAATGTCTTCCCCCAAATAAGCATTGTCCTTATTATGCCTAACTAGGCCTTTTTGTTCTTCAAAGCCTCGACAAACTCCTTTGGTGGTTGCTGGCTGTAGCCTTCTGGGTTGTTCTCTGTCCATTTCCACAGGTCGGCGCAGGCATCTTCCAGTGTGTACTCGGTCTTCCAGTCTAGTTCCTTGTTGGCAAGACTTGGATTAGCCGTCAGATCGAGCACATCGCCCTGTCTCCGTGGGGCGACTTCGTAGGGAAGGTCGCGCCCGACTACCTTGCTAAAAGCCTTGATCATTTCAATAACGGTGGAGCCTTTGCCAGTACCCAGGTTCCAGGCCTTGACACCCGGCTTTTGTTCGCGCAGGTAGTTGAGGGCTTGGAGATGACCGCGCGCCAGATCAAGGACGTGGATGTAGTCGCGAATGGCTGTGCCATCCTTGCTGGCGTAGTCGTCACCAAAGACGAGAAGCTTGTCGCGTTTGCCGATCGCAACTTGAGCCAGCAAGGGTAGCAGATTGTAGGGAACACCTAGTGGGTTTTCGCCCATGATGCCGCTGGGATGCGCACCAGCGGGGTTGAAGTACCTCAGCAGGGCGGCATTCCACTTGTTGATTTCCTGTTCGCTCTTTCCAGCCTTCCTGGCGTTGTTGCGCTCAGCCTCGATTGTGTCTGTGATTGCGCCTTCAATGGTGGACTTTGTGCGACCGTAGACATTGGTCGGGCCGATGGGGCAGTATTCGGGGATGGGGATCATGTTGGGGACGCGCGTCGCATCGCCGTAGACGGTGGCAGAGGAGGAGAAGACAATGTTGTTGACATTGTGCTTGACCATGGAGGTAAGGAGGGCAATGGAGCCGCCAACGTTGACGCGGTAGTATGTGAGAGGAATTTCGCCCGACTCGCCAACAGCCTTGAGGTGGTGTCAGAACTGGGGCGGCGCATTGGAAAGCAGGATGTGGACTGACCTTCAGGGCGGCAAAGTGAATGACATTGTCAATATCTGGGTTCTCTTCAAAGACCTTGTCGAGGGCAGCCTCATCAGTCACGTCGCACTGGTAAAAGGCAGGTCGCTTGCCGCAGATGAGCTCGATGCGGTTGATGACTTCGGCGGACGAGTTGTAGAGGTTGTCGACAATGACAACCTTGTAGTCTGCCTCGAGGAGGGCGAGGGCTGTGAAAGAGCCAATGTAGCCGGTGCCACTGCGCTGTGGTTAGAACCACGGTTCTACGGGCATGGCATGATGGTGGATAGCGGGGTGGAGGGGTAGCTTACCCTGTGACAAGAACAGAACCTACAACCATGTTGGCGGCTTTGAGTGTGCAGAATGAAGAAGTTCAAGGAGAGGAGGAACAGCTCTTATACAATCTGGCGCTGGTATCTGAATGGGAAGTTGCAGAGGTTTGGCAAAGTTAGCAATACGAGAGACTGGCTTCACGGGATGCGCCACTAGTGACACAGAAGCAGTCATGGGCGGATAGATTCCCAGATACGGCAAGGATGGGCATGGTTGGAACTGGATAAGTACACTACCTGGCCTAGTAACATGATGCTCTGCTGGTCGTTGCCGTCATGGCATCACGGGTGAGACGAGAAGTGATGTGGGC